AGCACAAATCACACGACAAAGCAGACGGAGGCTCACCGAGACCGGAAACATCCTCCGCAGATCATCATCACAAGACGCTCACTCAATCAAACTACAAACGCACGAAGTAGGCTAGAAAGGCTCAAGTCCGCACCGTCTCAGTTCTCCGGAGAGGGAAAGCCTCCTGGAAGAGGACGTCGGCGGACTCGAACGCTTCGACGACCGCCGTGCTGGAGGAGGAGGAGGAGGAGGAGGAGGAGGAGCTCGCGGCTCGCGTGCCGAGAGCGCCCCCGCGGCGCGGCCCGGAGACGCCGCACGACCTCCTTGCGCGGCGGAACGGCGGCTTCGGGGCGCGGGCGCAGCTCAGGGAAGCGGGGGGAGGCCGGAGCGCCCTCGATCGGAGGCGGGGCCCGGAGATCTCTCGGAAGCTGCGGTGGAGCAGGGGCTCCGTGCTGACGGCCGACGACATTGCCTGATCGAGCGAGGAGGAGCGAAGGAGAAGTGCGAGGAAGAGGAGGAGGAGGAGAAGAAGAAGATGGTCATCGCTACTTGATTAAGGATATTTGTAGAGTTTTGTGAGATGGACATAGTTTTCGAGCTCTGGAAAATTACGAGTTTCACTTTCACTTTCTGTTAATCGTTATTTTCAAAAAAAAAATATATATATATATATATATATATTTCCTTTATTTATTTATTTATTTATTTATTTTGTTTTTGTCCCGTTCAGGCTTCCTTTTCTGCCTTTTTGCCTTTTCGCCGTGATGATATCAAAAATATTTTAAAGGTGCGTCATGTTGTGATTGGACGAAACAGGGTCACGCGTAGCCGACCATACACTAAGCTAGAAGGAGAAATAATTTAAGGAAATTGAGTTTTATAAATAAATTTTATTATATAGGCTCATTTTAATATTTACCTCACGAGCATAATCGATCCGTGATCTTTTTAGATGATGATTAGTAATCGGCGATGATTTATTCATGAATTTTATTGTAAGTGCTCACGGATTTGATTTGATTGAATAAAGTGATATCGTCGAACTTCCAAGGACATATTAAAAGCCCGGGCTTGGGTTATTATTGCAATCCACATTGATCCATGCCTCGAGTTGGTAGGCAAATCATCTCGAGTCAGTAGGCAGATCGTCTCGTTACGATTTCATATTTGATCGAGGCACGTTGTCGGCCCTTGTCGGATTTCCTCTAGACAATTTCAAGCACTCTTTGACTCTTTTCTCATAGTCCTTCTCGTCTTTCCCTCCTGGTACATATTTGCCATTGTCCCTCACCCATATTTAGCTCCGAATTGAATTTACTCTTGATCAGGGCTGAATTTGCCAAACAATCGGACTCGCCGACGGCGCCTCGTGGTTGTGACGAGATCCAAACACGACATGGCTCTCATCTTCTCTGGTGACCCTTCTAGAGAATGTGGGCTTGGTCGGTTGCTGAGCACGTGTATTTGATTGTCATTTTTTTTTGGGTCCATTTTCTTGCTCTATGAAGTTATGAATCATCGAAGTAGCGACAGTTCCTCTCTAATCACACAAGAAGTTTTCCAAATAAATTTGTTTAAAGGACAATTTATCTGGAAAATATTCACAGTCTATGCAAATCGCCAACAATATCTTTCTATTTTCACATTAATTTGCTCACTCGACCAAACTTTACACGTGCCTTCTTCGCCTTTAGGCAATAGCAAAGCAAAGTCAAACCAAAGGCGAGTGCTTGAGAAAACTGTTCTTTTTCCTTGTTTCTTGTCCGCATATGTCGGAAGTCATTCCCCAGCAAAATCACGTTGCCACGATTGCTTTCTTTTCCGGAAACTGCACCTGCACCAAATCTCCGCATCTGGGCGGCGAGGAATCAGATCGTCGTCTTTGCGCAAGTCAAAAGGGTCGGCATTCATCCACCCCCAAAAGGAACTCAAAGCGTGCTCCCTTCTTTTTCTTGGCTACAGCAAACAAAGAAAAGATCATACTTACAATACAATCAAGCACCGGACATATGAGCAAAGCAAGCTCCCTCGTGACCCTAGGCCACAACTAATAGTGTTCAGCGGCCCTCCCGGTTCGAGGCCGGGCCATCGCATCGTCCCTAACTTATTGTCCAGACCCGTTTGTTGATATGGTATTTTACGGCCTGCGCGGGGATTATGAAGTCAGTCCCTTGCCTGTTCTTGCCTAACTTCGAGCACCCGTGATGGGAAGGGGCTCACGTGTCGCTAGAGTAATGGTCGGGTCTAGTTCTAATAATATGATGTAAAATAATTTAGGGAAACAAGAGGCGTAATGCGGAAAGGCCGAAAGAAAGAAAAAAAAGGCCCAAAACCTGTAGTTGAAAAGAATCGAAGCCCAATCGAACTTTAAAATTGCCGTGGATAGTGACGACAACGCCATTGTTAGAGCCTTCCAAGGCGGCTGAAACCATGATTCGAATGAGAAGGCTCGTGAAATGGTGAGGTAACATATGGGAAAAGTATAAAAAAAAGTCCTAAGCCTTTTGCATTATTGCCAACTTAGTCCTAAACCTTTTTTTGATGCCAATTTAGTCATAAACCTTTTGCATTGGTGTCAATTCAGGCCCAAACCTTTTTTTTATGCCAATTCAGTCCTAAACTTTTTGCATTGGTGCCAATTCAATCCTAAACCTTTTTTTTGTGCCAATTCAGTCATAAACCTTTTATATTTGTGTCAATTCAGTCCTAAACCTTTTGTATTGGTGCCAATTTAGTCATTCGACACGTGAATAGCTATTAGCCGGAAGGATTGAATTGGCACAAATGCAAATGTTTAAGACTGAATTGGCACTAATGCAAAAGGTTTAGGACTGAATTAGCACTAATGCAAAAGGTTTAAGACTGAATTGACACCAAAAAAAGGTTTAGGACTAAATTGGCACTAATGCAAAAGGTTTAGGACTGAATTGGTACCAAAAAAAGGTTTAGGACTAAATTGGCACTAATGCAAAAGGTTTATGACTTTTTTGACACTTTTCTCCCTAATGGAGCCATAGTTGTGGCTACAGGTGAAGAGGCCGCAAAAAATTGTGGTTGCGATGAGAACTGAGAACTTGTGATACACGACAGAGGAGGATGACAGTGGCGACGACATGGATCGGTGATGCGAGAGGTGTTGGTGGCTCATGGCGGACGAGAGCGGTGGCGGAGGAAGAAGGCGACAATGGCTTACGAGCATGATCGTGGCAGAGATGTAAGAACTGGGCAAGCTTTATAATTGATGTTGATGGCTTGTTGAGAAATCTAGTTTGATAATTAGTTTGAGGAGAGATTTATAACGATAATTTATTCTGATGATATATACAAGGTGGGGAAAAGGTCTATCAAAGAATTTAACGGTCTCTCTTTATAGAAAAATTAGGGTTAAATGTATTGAAAGTCCTAAGACTTGTCACGAAAATGCATCGAGTCCCTAAACTTTTCAAAAAGTATAATCTAGTCCTAAAACTTGTCACGAAAGTGCAATCGAATCCTAAAACTTTCAAAAAATGTAATGAAAAGAAGGACTTGATTAGACAAATCTGACAATTTCTAAGACCTGATTCCCAATTCCACGGAAATAGGAAGCAAAAATGGATAATTAAAAGGAAAAAAACGCTACAATGAATTTAAATAAACTATGCCGCTAATTGATGATCTTTTCATTTTCTCCATTCCTCGTTATTCCATAAATTCTCATTTTTTACGATTGATCGTTCCATAAAATCTCATCGTTTCGTTTGAAATTTACCCCGTTAATAACAATGAGTGGTGTTTGTTGAGGCTGTATCCCTTTATGTCACTATACTTATGTTTTTCATCAAGTAGTTTATGCAATCCACATAGCTACCCGTGCATATGCAACTATAGAGACTCCATCTTTAGTTGTGGAGTTAATTTATCACAAAATTTAGAGTGCACTAGACACTGCCAATGTTACATATGAAGCAAACTCATTTAGATAGCCCGGGAGTCGGTTTTCACGCACGATGGACACATTAAGTTAATATTATCATCACCCATAAAAAAAGGATTAAACCACCCAAAATCCCAATTTGATACATTCAATGTCGCATTTACCTTGATCTAATTTCCGTATCATAAAAGATAACAAATTGGTACTTCCATAGCTTTCATCCAATATCCCTACTAAATTGATGACGTGGAACCGCAAGTGGCAAACAACTCGAGTGGTTGGCATGTGACATGGATCCAACACGAAAATTCGACATTAACGGGTCTCCTCGAAGGTCGTTTTGGGGAAGCCAGATCAGATGAAAAATGAACCAAGATTGAGAAATCTGCTAAATTCTATTTATATGCTCGATTACTTATTTTAAATTCCTTTCACAGTGTCGATCACTTCGGTTTACAATCATGAGAAGGATAGGCTTGATATGGCATCGTTCCCTTCTGGATATATTTGACATGCGTACCACATTTTCACCATCAAACTATCCAAATTCAAAGGGAAAATTGCCAAATCAGTCTTAAAACGGATATTGATTTAGTCCTAAATCTTTGCACGAAATTCCAGTCTAGTTGTTCCGGTCAATTTTCGTCGGCAATCGCTGACGTGGCGGTATGCCACGTGGGATTATCGACGATGACTGGACCGTCACATCAGCAATATCCAACGAAAATCGACCGGAAGGACTACATTGTAATTTCGCGCAAAGGTCTGGGATTAAATTGGTAGAATCGAAAAGTTTAGAATCGAATCGGCATCCCTACGATAGATTCAGGACCGATCAGTGAATTCTCCCCGGATTGAAAAACCCTAGGAAACCACACAAACGGAAGCTAAATTTACCACGGGCCTCGACAAAAATAGACTTGTAACTGACGGCAGCTCGAACCCTCCACAACATTAACATCGTCGACCACAAAGTGGTTCCGCACCGTCCTCCGCCTACGTGCGTCTCTCTTCATTCACTATTTTTGGCGTCGCTTTTGTTTTAGGCTCGAATCTGTTACGTTCGAAACCCGCATCGACCGTTAAATACAGGCCTCTCGCCCGACGAGCCGACACCGCATGAACTCTGCCCAGTTTCTCCAAACTCGTGGCAGGTTCAGAAAAAGTCGCAAATTCTCTCTTCCTTTTTTTTGTTTTTCTGAAGTAGTTTAGTAGGTACAACAATGGTAGAAATGAATAGGCAAGTTTGCTGCTTCTTGTTCTTCTTGTCGTTCGCCGCCCTCGTCCCGTCCCTCAGAGCGAACATCAGGGACTTTGATGAGTACTGGCAAAAGCGGGCCGAGGAGGCCCAGAAGGATGCGCTCGACGCGTATGACCCTCACCCCGAGTCCGTCACCGATTACTTCAACGCGAAAGTCGACAAGTGAGTCTAGACCTTTTTCGCGACAATGCATGTTATCACCAAAGTCTCTCCGAACAATCTTTCGCGCCGACTGTAGAATATCTTATGAGCATAGACATGACATCTGCGTATGAACGTTACAGTTTGTGTACATGCACGAACGTGCATGCAAAGTCTAGGAATGAACTCACGGTAGATATGCTTTTGTACAGGGCCGTGAGGGGCAACAACAGCACAAGAAGGCAGCTAGGAAAGTACAAAGGGCCATGCTTGGCTACCAACCCTATCGATAGATGCTGGCGGTGCAACCGGAATTGGGCTCGCAACAGGAAGAGACTCGCCGATTGCGTCCTCGGTTTCGGCAGGAAGACCCGCGGGGGCAAGTATGGGAGGTACTACGTCGTGACCAAATCGTCTGACGACGACATGGTCAACCCTAAGCCCGGAACCCTACGCCACGCCGTGGTCCAGAAGGGCCCGCTCTGGATCATCTTCGCCCGCAGCATGGTGATCAGGCTCAACCAGGAGCTCATCATGACGAGCGACAAGACTATCGATGCCCGGGGGGCCAACGTCCACATCGCCTACGGTGCCGGCATCACCATCCAGTTCATCAGGAACGTGATCATCCACGGCCTCCACATCCACGACATCGTCAGGGGTTCTGGGGGGCTGATCAGGGACGCGTTCAACCACGTTGGGCTCAGGACGCAGAGCGACGGCGACGGCATCTCCATCTTCGGCGCCAGCAACGTGTGGATCGACCACGTGTCGATGTCGGCGTGCTCGGACGGGCTCATCGACGCCATCCAGGGGTCGACCGCCATCACCATCTCCAACTGCCATTTCACCAATCACAACGAGGTAACAAAATCACCCAACTGATGTCACCCCTGAGAGAATTCAATCCGCTAAAAACTTTAGCCCCTGGAAAAATTTTAACAAACAGTTGATGGATGGTTCAATCCTGGGCGTCAGGTGATGTTGTTTGGGGCAAGTGATGGGTACTCACAGGACCAGATAATGCAAATAACGGTGGCGTTCAATCACTTTGGGAGGGGATTGGTGCAGAGGATGCCAAGGTGCAGGTGGGGATTCTTTCATGTGGTGAACAATGACTACACTCACTGGCTCATGTATGCCATTGGCGGCAGTCAACACCCCACCATCATAAGCCAGGGCAACAGATTCATTGCTCCTCCAAATGTGGCTGCTAAAGAGGTAAGCCTTGGTAGAGATCGTCTTCTTCCTTCTTCTTAAACGAAAGGTGTGAAAATTCGCCATTAGATCATCAAAGTTTAGGCGACTCTTCTAGCAAATATGAGCAAGAAATTGGTGGCGTCATTAGGGACACACACACACCTCATGACCGTGGAATGATTTTTTTTCTCCTCTGTTTGGGTCTCTAATGGATGTAGGTGACCAAGAGGGACTATGCGACGCAAGACCAGTGGAAGAACTGGCTGTGGAAGTCGGAGGGAGACCTGATGATGAACGGAGCCTTCTTCGTCCCTTCTGGGAACCTGAGGGCGAGGCTCCCGTTCTCTCGGCACGACATGATCAAGGCGAAGCCGGGGACGTACGTGCGGCGGCTGACTCGCTTCTCCGGCTCGCTCGGGTGCAGAGTTGGCAGGCCTTGTTAGAGAGAGAGAGAGAGAGAGAGAGAGAGAGAGAGAGAGTTCTTAAGATTTCTTTGTCCTGTTTTTAGTATGAAACAGAGGCTCAGGTCGATTGTGCTGTTTGAATTCCTCTGCTTGACAAAAGGGGTTGGACACAAGAGAGCTCCTAATGCTAGTCCCTCTGTTTTGCTCTTCTTCTTCTTCTCTTTGTGGGAGAGAATATACAAGAAAGATTGAGATGGAGTAAATGGTGAAACATATGGTAATATTTGTAACCAAAGAAAAGGAAACATATGCTAATATTAATTAATAATTTCCTATTTTTCCCATTTAGATCGTGTTTGGGGAAGGGACAGACTCGATGACTAATTTCATTTAGAAGGAAGTTGTGTATGCATTGTGGAAGGGAAAATGGATCATACACTTTGGCAATGGGTAACTTTCACCACAATTTTTGTTCCTGACATAAATTTACCATCTATTGGTGTATTGTTAGAATGCATGCGTGTCAAGGTGTGAGAATTTTCTATGTCGATCCATTTTGCAGTCGTCTGTCAGTGCGTTGACTCGTATGCATAATAAACGGGGTTGAGCGGAATGTTCGGGTTGGGCTACCAACTTCGGATTTCATGAGAGACGGAAATTAGTTTGGAATGAATGTGTTTCGATCGTTTTATTTTAAAGGGTACTGATCCAAAAGAAAAGGAAAGAACATAACATGACCAAGAAACTATAAAAATATATAAGAAACGCCCAAACTAAAATTAATGTAATGTTTTCAATTTTCACCTCTGTCGCTCGGGAAGAGATATAAAAGCACTGTAGCCATTGTTGCTCTCTGCACAAACGCATCGCCACCGCGGGAGGAAGAGGAAGGAGGCGACGATGATGCTTCAGCTGCGCATGCCGTCGTCCTCTCCGGTCAGCTCCCCGAACCCTAGGCTCTTCTGCTTCCGCGATTCGTCTTCCTCGCCGGAGCCGTCGCTCCGGGGTCGCCGTCCCTTAAGCACTCGCAAAACCTCTCGCGTCTCTCTGGCCCGAGCTCCCCATGGCCGCGCCCCGTTGAGGTGCCGCCAGCCCGAGTACTTCGACCAGCAGCAGCGGTTCGCCGCTCCGGCGTCGTCGGACGGTTCCACCACCTCCTTCTCTCGTTCCGGCGGAGGTATCTCGCGGTCTCTTTTCGTTAGTCGGCGTCGAATGACGGTGGATAGAAGTTCTTGTGGTTTTTTCGGTTGTAGGTGAAAGCTAGCAGATTCTTGAGGCTAGGGTTCGATTGCTGGTAGCTTTACGAGTTTGCTCGTGTTCTGGCAAGTCGAGAGTAAATTTTTGTTCTCGTTCTCATTTGTGGCTCTATAGGACGGTCAGATAGATGGAGCTAACCTAGTGATAAGATTAACACGTTTTTCTCTTAGTTTTTTGGCTGTCTTGGTTAGTCAATTGCTAAGTCGGCAGCGAAGGCGTTCATTTGCTTAATCTCTTTAGGAATGGAAGAGTGTGGATGCTATGCAGCTATGGCTGAGAACATATTGTGGTTAATTCCTGTTTGCTTTTCTGAAATTATGCTTCGGCGGCGCCAATGTTGGTTCTTCTGCGTGAGTTACTTGGGTTTCTTATGTGCAGTAGGAACAACGTCTACAAGGGTTTTCGTCGGTCATTCCATATACAAAGGAAAGGCAGCTCTGACAGTGGAGCCCAGATCTCCGGAATTCACTTCTTTAGATGTATGTTAGAGACTCTTTCTTCTTCTTATATATCCAAAAAGTCCTGAGATGTTAGTTTCTGACCTGTTGAAGTTTTGGGTTAAATGGTGTAGTCTGGGGCATATAAACTGTCTAGGGAAGGATTTGTGCTGCTTCAATTTGCCCCTGCGGCTGGCACGCGAGTATATGATTGGAGCAGAAAGCAGGTAATCTATTCATCATTGCGTCTCTACGGCAGGGAATATGGTTTCTTGTTCTGCTACATTTTAGATTGTTTCCGCGGTAAAAACGTCTCTCCCTCTTTATGTTTCCTTCTATTTTCATGTTTTCCATTTTGGGGATGCGGCATCGGTTTTATTAAAAGCCTAAGGCCCTGAGCAATTTAGTTTGGGTTTAAGATTCTATGCTTCCCAGTTCTTTAAATACCATTCTGCTATTCTTCTTATGGCCTGCTTTTTTCCTGAATGGGTTTCACTTTCTATAAAGAGTTTTTGTAGCTACTTATATACGTTTACAAGTGGATTTTGAAGGTAGCAAAGGACTGTATTCTTGCATATGGAACTTGTTGAAGAATCATCCCACATCGATTGACAACGGGTCCTAAATGCTCTTTATATTCATGTGGTTTCCCTCCATCTAATAGCTTAAGCTTTTGGGTTGGACTTTCTAACATGGTATCAGAGCCAATGCTTTCCTTTTCGCGAATGTGCGTGGTAAAAATTCCATGTGAATGTGTGATGTCAAAATTTCGCGTGCTGCTCGTAATCCGGCTTGCACGTGAGTGGGGGTGTTGAAGAATCATCCCACATTGATTGACAACGGGTCCTAAATGCTTTTTATATTCATGTGGTCTCCCTCCATCTAATAGGTTAAGCTTTTGGGTTGGACTTTCTAACAGAACTGTTGCTGCAAACTATCATCATGTGATTGATCACTTAGCTGCCACCAAATCACCTTTGGTTGGAGTCGGGCAACCCTTTTTAATCACAAAAATAGTGATCTGATTTTGACAAATCATGCTGCTTCCCCCTTTCATTTTGTAAACTTTGAGAGATCTTTATAGATCAATGTTAGTGTTATTTAGTGGATTCTCAATCCTTCTTTGATTTTTGAGGTTTTACTGATGGGTGGGGATGCTTTCCTCTAGGTGTTCTCATTATCTGTGACAGAAATTGGAAATCTTATTGCTCTAGGTCCAAGAGACTCCTGCGAATTTTTTCATGATCCTTTTAAAGGAAAGAGGTATCGTCTCACTTACTTCACATTTTTTTGGAAGAAACATGCATTTGTGTGTGTATGGTAGTTTTAAGCTGTGATTGCTTGAGTCGGGCCTTGGCTCTGGTAATTGCTGTCAGCTCTCGTAAAATAACAGATGAATTGCAATAAAATCTAGAGACAAAATTTAATTTTTATTGATTTCTCTAGGTATTTTTTATGCTTTGCAGAAACTTTTTTATCCAGGTATATCTTACTGAAAAATTTGCATTTTGTTTTCTATAATACAGATTTGTATACCATTTTCATTTTAAAGTCAAATCCGCAAGGAGTAAATTATAAAAATTTAAGATTTGCATGTCAGATCATATGAATTGCATTTTTGAATACTATATAATTCAAAGGATCTCTTTTTTTAATAGTGTGTACTGTCTCGCTCATGCCTGATACTTGGAGCAACTCCTCTCATACGAAAGTAATATAATCACGTCGACACCTTTTATGGCTATTATTGCATATAGAATAGTGCATCCCAGAAAGTATCCACTTAGTATGAACTCAGCAATTTAAATGTTATATGGAGTATTAAAAAATCCATAACGAATTCCAGAGCTTCTGTCCTTGTCCGACGCTCTGGAAAGGGTGACTCAGACAATATTTGAGCACAGTTATGTCAATTATTCTACATCAACTAATTTTTTATCTCTCCTTTAAGGCAGAAAAGAGGAACCACTTTGCACAACTTCGCTTCTATTTACATGTTCTGTTAACTGTGCAATTCTTAGGCTTTGCTTTTGGTCAAAGAGAAAAACTTAGGCTTCAATTTCAACTTTAGTGTTCTGAAGTTGATAGTAAGCTGTCATACTTATGCAGTGATGAAGGTAAAGTAAGGAAGGTTTTGAAGGTGGAGCCCCTTCCAGATGGCTCAGGACACTTCTTTAACCTTAGTAATCTTCTGCTTTCTAAATCTCCTGGAACTGATATTTATATGTCCTGTTACACTGCAAATGCTTGAAGTTCTTCCCATTCTTGATCAAACCATACAGTATTACCTCATTGTGTGGTAGACTATCAAGATTTATGATTCAAAGCATTTTTTAATTTTTAAATTTTTGGGAGTCATTTGGAACTTGCTGAGCTCGCAATATGTTAGCAAAATTTAGAGATGCGAGGTGTTAAGTGACAAACGCCAAGGCAGAGCTGGTTGATTAGTGGTAAGTCAATGGGGCCGCTTTGGGAATTCTATTACCATCTGCAGCAAATCAATTAGATTTGATAGTTTTATAGTCAATCCTTGCTGTTTAAACCTGTGTGCTTGGATTTGATAAAAAAAACAAAAAAACCTGTGTGCTTGGTGGCATCAAGGTTAGGCTTAAACACCGCGAAATAAGGGTGGCGTGTCATATTGGCTATTTGTTTTCAGAGTGTCAAATTATGTCCAGTCATACATAAGTGATAGTGACTAATCGTGCCAATTTCGGATGAGGCATGTTCAAGTTCTTCTCTAGCTGAATCTCCTGGCCTAGCCGTTTATTCTGTTATATATGCCAACCTCCTGGACGCCACATGGCTAGGTTCTGTTCATGCCCTTCCTCCAAGTCAATTATAGGAGCTACTGTGATCTTTCCCAGTCAGTCATGCTTTTCTATCAAAGTGTCTTATCATTTCTTCTCATTTATGAGAATACACGAGATACTCAATTCCCATTTATTTGCTTCAAGATATCTATAACTACATTTAATATATTAGATATGCTAATTATATTTTTGATTTCTTTTTGATTAGTAAAAAAGATTTTAAAGCAAAAGGGCACCAAGGGGGGGCCAACCCATGTAAAGATCGATGGGGAAATTCAAGTTGTAAATAAGGTCCACAGGGACTGTACGCTATCAATGAAATTTCCAGCACCACCGGAGACTAGTGTGGAAAGCCATCTATCTTTTGATGGTGAAGGAGGTGTTTCTCTTTTTTCAAGGGTTTTCCTATTCTAATCCTGCCAAGAGATCCCAAAAATGGGAAGGTGGTATCAAGGAGAAATTTTTTTCCTATCTTTGGAAGAGTTATGTATCTCCAAGATTGAATTCCTATCTTGACCAATCCCGTTGCTGCCCATTTGGCACCTACCAGAGAATACGCTGAGTTCCAAAGTTCCTTGGCTGTATTACAATGAAGCAACCACTGTGAAATCAGATTCAGTCTTATTTTACGAAAAAACATCTATTTGCAAGTACTTTCCCCTTCTTCGAAGATTATCCAATATGAAAATTTATTCCCAAGTACCTTTCGAGTGAAGGATTAAACCCGAAGAGGTGATTCTGATTTGCGGATAACCTTCAAAGAGTTTTGCATCGCGCACCTTCTGATTATCACTAATCAATTCCTGTAATATGATTTGACTGTAAAGATCCCACTTCCATGGATAAATTGAGACTATTGTCAGAACGACTCTGTAAGGACATTAAGAAATAACTATAAGGACAGTAAGAAAGAGTGGAAAGATTTTACAGAGGTCTCTGTCCGATTCAACCAAAGAGTTACTTCATTACAAATATATTTCTGCACAGGAATTATCTGAACCGTTGTCTATTAGTTGCTTTGTTTCTTCATTATTCGCACCACCCTTGAGGTGTGAAAATATGTGATAATATTCTCTATCTCATTTTATTTTACCAGCTAAATATTTAATTGTCTAATATTTAGTTTATTTCATCATTTTGACCTGATTTGCCATAGGTGTTCAGAATAAGCTCATGAATTTGGATGAGAGCATTTATATTCCTGTCACCAAGGCAGAATACACTGTCCTTATCTCGGCTTTCAATGTAAGTTGAACATTCTTCTCTGTGTTCTGCTTTTATCTGTCTGGTTCTCCATAAATAATCTGGTATTGGCTATTGCCTTCATCTCATCATAGTTTTATGGTATCCCTCAATCTCAATTTCGTGATTGTGAGCGGATAGTCTTATGAAAATGCAGCGGAATGAGTTGAATGAGATCATTTTCTTGCTACTTGTGATAGCCCAAGCAGAGTTCTTGATGCAGGAATGCTTATTTTCATCATAGAACTGATTAGTCTGATATCTCTGTTGCCTTTGTTGCCTTCTATGAATTTAGGGCTTAGATTTCAGTTATGCAATGATATTCTGCTGTCCTGTGCAGTTCATACTGCCGTACCTATTAGGTTGGCACGCCTATGCAAACTCAATAAAGCCTAATGATCCAAACCGAGCAAACAGTGCCAATTCACGATATGGAGGAGACTTTGAGTGGAGTAGATGATAGACTGCTGGTTTTTTCAACTTGTGATGGAGAGTGCTCTTCCATGAGCTTCTGTTGTAGAGCTGAAATTCTGCGTCAGAGAGAAATTTTGCTTGTACTTGAAAATGCCTCCCATTTTGGCATCCTTTTTGTTTCAAGCTGGGGTAATTAGGCAATGCTGGGTTTGAGAATGTAGGGATTTCATGCTAAATTAACTTTAGTTACTTCCAATGCTTTTCATTATGCTGTCCAACTGCTAAAATGATTGTATTGCGTCAATTTATTGGCCTATTTTAGATTGGCATGATTATATGTAAAGACTAGCAAATGTGGGAGGTTGGAGATTGTAGACGTAGCTTTTGGAGTCGGTATGCTTTTGCAATTCTCCTTATTTTATGTTATGGATGGTTGAGAAATAATCCCCGACAGCATTTGCTTGGGGCAGAATTTATACTTCAGATCATGTAGTGTACTGCATGACACGGGGAAATCATTGCAAGAATAAAATTGAGGATTGCAATTTAACGGGGGATAAAGGCAGCAGAGTTCCCCGAATTTTTTCGAATTGTTCAATCAAGTCTATGAAGATTAAAACATCAATATGCTAGATGTTATGCATGTTCCTTGTCAGCTAAAAGTCATTTTGCTGCAAAAGATGGAAGAGTTTAATCTTTACTAAAGTGGCAATTCGATGGGCCTTGGATATACAAGAAAGGGGTGGGATTTTTTCAGCTCATCGTCCTTTTCTGTTTTACTTCTTTCGCGGGCTGATATGATCCTATGTTATGTTTCGTTACATCTCACAAAACCATTTCGGTTTATTGATGATCTTTATGTGTCTGGAAGTCCCTGGAGCTCAGGTTTTCCATAATTAAGTCAGACCCTGACTTCTACAGATATAAGGATAATGACACGGCGTCCTTCTTCCTGAAGGACGTAGTCTCAAACGCAAATCAGCATAACCTGTTATCAAAATATATGTCAATCTACTATATATATATATATATGATAAATAGTGCATTGGTTACAAAATCAAAGTTTCCAGAATCCATTAGGATGTATGTATACACCTCCAACTCAATTAAACCCTGTAAATATCATCTCTGACATTCATCCAACTACTCATGTTCAAAATTCAACTATCAAATTTCTTGTCGATATCGCTCGTCCTACTTACTGCCGGTTGATGAACCTGAAACAGATTTGAAATGAATGGGTTAGGCAACCGCAACTTTTAGAGTAATAAATATCTCTTCTAAGCAGATAAAGTACTAGAGATCCAAAATGAGTTATACCTTTTTTCAATAGAGATTTTGTATGTATACTTTCACAATGAGTAGTAAAATATGGTTAACATGAATAGTGAAATGTGGAAATATTCTTTCAATTTGCAATTACAAATCAAACATCAACGGTCAAACCCATTGATTAATCTCATCACACCATATATTAATGGTTCCTTCCTTTGACTAGTCTTGTATGCTTGATACCCAATTCAAGGCTTTGGAAGTGCCTCCCACAAGACTCGTGTCACATGTAGCATTGAGTCCTTAAGAAGTACATATCAATAATACAAAGTCTAAAGGTGGCTTCTAGGGGACTCCCATCACCATGGAACACTTAGTCCTTGAACTAGAAGGTTCTAAGAGTGGCTCGCACGAAATTTACTTCACCGCGTAGTACTTAGTCCTTGACCAACATAAATTAATAGTACAAGACTCCTACGGTACTCGCGTCACTATTTAGCACTTAGTTCTTGACCAGTTTGCAACTCGTAATCCTATCAATTTAAAATAAAACACGCTATCTCAACTATGAATCGACTAAATTAAGCTTAATCGCTACGAAAATATCTCATACGCGCCAATAAAACGCTAGCCTAAAGCAGTTATTCAAAGCTATCCGCTAAGTAGAGCTCCGTTTGCTCCATTAAGCGGACCTCGTGCGCGAAACTTTAAATTCGCTCCGACTAATTTGTAAGTACGAATCAATTTCTGTCAAACCCTATGGCTCTACAACGCTCTAAAATATCATTTTCATATAATTTTACAGCTTAACAATTGCAAAATCGGATCTCGAAGTTCATAATCTACTTAACTCCGAATTCACGGCCTAATTTCGAAAATTTCTATGATTAGATGAATAAATGGTTCGAATCTTTATAGGGTACTGCGAAACGAGATTAATCCGGCTCGCCGAAGTCTCCGAAGTGAGTACCGCGAATTCCATTTTCTCGTTTTTCTTCGTTGCTTTCTCCTTTTCTCTCCTTTCCTCTTCTGTTGTGCGTGCGCGCGCGTCCCTCTCTCTCTGTTACACTTTCTTCTTCTTTTTCCCTTTTAAAATAGGATTATCGCTTCTCTTATTTTATTGGCCACCATATTTGACCAAGTCAAAAGCCAGTATTACAATTGATTGCATAAAGCATCTCCCAAAAACTAAGGATCCCCGGTACTGACACTACGTTGCTTCCTTTCACAAAAGTTCGCGCGCTTCACATGGCCCAATCATTCGTTCTTGGATGCGCCTTGCAAAGTGCAAAAAGCAAAAGAAAAGAAGAGAAAAAAGAAAAAGTACAAAAAGCCAAGCAGAAACGCTAAAGATAAGGGTTTCTAGCTAGTTGATTATTAAGGGCGCGCGTGGTAACATTTCTATTTCAGAAATTAATTTCTGATCAGAAATAGATTTTTCTATTTCTATTCCGTGGACGAGTTTCTGAGCAAAATTGTGTGTTTGATAACGACACAAAATTTCTATTTCCGAAATAGAAATTCGTTTGATAACGACATAAAATTTTTCCTTTTCGGGCGACCGGCGGAGGACGGCGGGTGTCGGTGGGGGGCGGAGGACGGTGGCCGGCGGTGGGAGGAGGCTGGCCGATGGCGACGGATGACGGCGGTTGGCGGCGATCGGCGGCGGCCGGCGGTCGGCGTCGAGTGGTGTAGCACGGCGGCCGGCGGCGAATAGCAGCGGCGGTTGCCGGGGCGGAGGGCGGCCAGCGTGGGGCGGTGGAGCACGGCGGCTGGCGGTGGAGGACGACGGTCGGTGGTGGGTGGCCAGCGGTAAGAGGCAGCCGGCAGCAGAGGGCGGCCAGAGTCGGGCGGTGGAGCACGGTGGCCAGCTGCGGAGGACTGCCGCCGGTGGCGGGTGATGGCCGGCGTCGGGCGGCGGAGGACGGTGGTCAGCGGCAAGAGGCGGCCGTCGGGTGGGAGGCGGTCGGCGTCGAGTGGCGGAGGATGGTGGTCGGCGGCAAGAGGCGGCCAACGGGTGGGAGGCAGCCGACGGCGGCGAAGGATGGCGGGAGGCGGCGGTGGGCGGGTTGCGGCCGACGTTGGACGGTGGCGAATGACGGAGGATGACGGTGGGAGGAGGCGGTCGGCGAAGGACGCCGGCGGTAGGCGGCCGATAGCGGGAGGCGGCCGGCAGTGGCGGGAGGCGACCGGTGGCAATAGCGAGTGGCAAGGGGGTAACCGGCTAGTAGCGAGGGCAATCGATAAGAAGAGTTTTTATTTCTTATTTCTGTTCCAGAAATAGAAAAATAATTTTTTTTTACTTTTGACTTCTGTTCCAAACCTATTTCTGGAATAGAAATTTATTGAAATAGAAAAATGAAATTGCGTTCTCCAAAGCAGTTGCTTAAATCATTAGGACGAAAAAATAGAAAAATAGAGAAATAGAAATGTTCTGTGCCCGCCCTAAGAGACTATTCATGATAAAATGAGCAAATATAAAATCAATTGACCAGTCAATCCGTCAAATGAAGATCCATTCCCACACAACTGTTGAGTAATCATTTACTTTTTCTTGGGTGGTGTGGGAGGTGTAGTGTCATTTGGATGCTCCTCAGTGCTTCACTAACCAGAGTCCCTTCGTCCATGTACATGATGCTTTGGTACTTCATTGTGATTGTGAATGGTGTCATTCCTTTGTTCTCCTCCTGTACATCCACTGCCGAGCTCATCGATGAGCTCCCCGGTCAGCCGGACGGTGTTTCTTTCGAGCAGCACTCGGGCTACATCGTCACGGATTCTTGGCGTGGCCATGCTCTGTTCTATTACCTGGTGGAAGCCGATGCAAGGAACCCGCTATCCTATCCTCTAACATTGTGGTTCAATGGAGGTACGGGAGTCCTGCTGCTAATGCATTACTGCTTGTGCTATTGTTTGCCAATTCTGATTGACTTCGGTTTAGGCCCCGGTTGCTCTTCTCTCGGGTTCGGTGCATTCATGGAGCACGGTCCGTTTCGACCAGCTGGGGACGGTGGCTTGATGAAGAATGAATTTTCCTGGAATAAAGGTACTTCTTTCATCTGCCCATCGATCATGTTTGTAATGGAATGGACTCTAGAAAGTTGTTAAGGGTAACTTACGCTGATTAAATTGCAATTTGGATAGTGTCGAACATGCTGTACGTGGAATCCCCCATCGGAGTTGGGTTTTCATACTCGAATACGACTTTGGACTACGTCGACTGGGGAGATGCAGACACCGGTACATCTGAGTTGTTATTAATGGTTTTTCTTCTCTCAAAAGTAGCGAGAGTTTAGCGGCCTTCCTATTTGTAGTGAAACAGACATCCTTTCAATTGCAGCCAGAGACAACATGCAGTTCCTTCTCAGTTGGTTCGAAGAATATCCGAAATATAGAGACTCGGATCTATTTTTAGCGGGGGAGAGCTATGCTGGTAATTTTTGGAACTCCTATGGTCTCGCGGTTGCCCCTGTGGAAGAGATTGTTAATTCCTTTCTGTTATTTTGAATTCAATTTGATACACTAATCTTCCTTCCGAACAAACTAATCTCTACAGAACATGATTGTAGGCCACTACGTGCCGCAGCTTGCAGCTCTGGTGCTGGATTACAACAAGCAGTCCCATGGGAAACCGATCAACCTTAGGGCGATAGCAGTTAACAATACTTTGCTCCACTTGGATCGCGCTTCTTCAGTTTGGCAACTTTCTTCGTTTGATTTTCAAGCTTATTACCTGACTAGAACAATCTCGTCTTCTCTTTGTCGATGCAGCTCGGCAACCCACTTCTGGATTCTCAGATTAGTGTAGACGGTGCCACATTTTTGTGGTCCCATGGCGTCATTTCGGATGAGACGTTGAAGCTGAAGGAGACGGTGTGCAATGACTCCAGGTACTTGATGGAGCTAATCCACCACAAAATTTCAACGGAATGCACGGAGGTGTTTGAGAAGCAGGTGGAGGAAATGGGGAATTTTACCGATCCAGGTGATGTGCTCGAACCTTATTGCTTCTCTGGGACTGCCGCGATGCAATCGGCTTCCAGTAGCGCGTGGGATGCGTACCACGCCAAAGTGAGTTTGATTCTCTGGAAGATCTTTCCTAATATCTAGAATTTTTTACTGAGGTAACATGCTATAGGGATACCCTTGAGTACATTTTAAGCTAACGGATCTTCAATATCATAGTCACAAAGAATACACGAAGAAACTTCAGCAAAGAGTACTGCATAATGAACACGCAATTAGTGAGAATTTCTTGTGATAGTTCACATTTGGAGTACTAAGCCACTTGCTTACTTTACAGTACTCTTTCCGATTTTCAAGACGCACGCTCTGGTTAAGAGACACCCACTTAAAATTTCATCTGAACCTGCGTACAGCATAAGAATGAAACAGCCCAGGAACAAAACCATGAAAGCATCCTTATGGTATTGATTCACAGATAGGACTATTCAGAATTTAGGCCTTGATCTGGTTCATCAAGCATTGACTTTTCTTGTGAGCAGCTAGCGCGAAGGATGGTTCTTACTGATCCGTGCCTCGGGGATTCGATATTTTCGTACCTCAATAATCCTCGAGTGCAGAAAGCTCTCCACGCTAATACAACGAAGCTCCCATTGGCTTGGCAATTCTGTTCAGGGTCTTTTTGCCCACCTCTGCTCTATTACCTTCCTGATTCAGTCGGAACCACACATTCTGTTTCTAAATGTTGTTTCTTGTGGCATGTCGCAGGTCTCTTTCTTATCATGCCGTCGAATTAGGCACCAACATCATACCTCTTTTGTCGGCCTTAATCAAGGAGCATCTGCGAGTCCTCCTCTTTAGGTAAGTCATGGACATGACTCGTCTTGTTCCAACATGTTTCGTTCCATGACAACTTTTTTCCTGTCAGGAGTATCACTGTCTGTGTTGTGGAAACATGCCTTGAATTCATGAACATAGACATCACTGCTGCATTTCTCATATCAACTAATAACGTGAAATTGGGCTGCATGTTGCAGTGGCGATCAAGATTCGAAAATTCCGTTGACGCAGACGAGGATGATCGCCAACATGATTGCTCGAGACTTAAAATTCACATCCTTGGGTCAATACGCACCTTGGTACGACAAAATGCAGGTTAGATTCTCTTCCTGTCCACGTTCATTTATAACTCTGACACACCACGGTGGTAAAGGAAAACGAATGTCTCCGTCCCTTGTCGAATCTGATTCGAAACTTGCGGATGTCCATACATACATTCCTAACAACATCAGCGACACTCGTGAATCAGGTTGGTGGATGGACTCAGTCATTTGGTACGTCCAGAAAAGGGAAGAACGCGACTCATTTGACGTTCGCCACGGTTAGAGGAGCGGCTCACGAGGTCCCGTACACTTCGCCGTCGCAGGCTCTCACCTTGTTCAAAGCATTTCTCGAGGGATCCTCTCTACCGAAAGTGCCGTTCAAGAACTGATCCAGTCGCGGCTCTTACTGCCTGCCCAGTTAGTGAATGAATATGAGCGCCCAAATGGATAATAATATCAGAGAGAGATATGGACAGACCGAAGAGATTCAAGAACGGAAACTAGGTCAACGCAGTCTACTAAATTAACTCTCAGCTTATCACATGATCCTATGTATCAACTGGCATTTCTTTAGTTTGACATTGACAGCTCAATTAGGCACATCTGTATACTTTTTAAATTATTGGGTGTATCAAAATTTAATCACATGCACAGTCCCAATTGGTGTAGTGAGATTCAAGTAGGTCAATGGGCTGCTGATTTTAGTATTATGAACCTGACAATTAGGAAATTGATTTCTCAAGTTAGAGACCCCCCACAATTTTTTATCTTTTTTTTTTTTGGATTATTTAATGACTCACCGATTTAGTTGCAATTGTTTTGGAGATCGTGACCAACTTTAGTTGCATCGTGCCTTTTCTAGTCTTTCTGATTATTAAGTCTACGTTATGGATATTTTTTTATAGGATAAATTTAACGGATCGGATCGTCTGTTTTCATCGAAGTCAATACCTTCCAACTGATAATAGCGGTCAAGAGTAATGTCTCTCTTCAAATAAACTATATTTATTAGGTCTTAAAAAATTAAGTGCTTGCGTAAATAATCTTTTTACGCTCTTATTGAACTATATGGAATTTCAATGATAAATGAGATATATACATATTATATTTATGTGAGATTTCACCTCAAGAAGTAGCATTCCCTTTGAGTCTAACCTAATTTTACTTAATGTAATCTTGCTAAAACGAACGCATTATTCTCTTAAGCAGCCAAGATGCCTAATATGAATAGGGCCAAGTCGTTTATCATGTGTTTACTCTATAAATTCTAAATCAACAGAAAATAATCTGGAAAAATGACAAACATTAGGGTTTCAACGTTGGCCCGTGAATGGCATTATCATTGACAAATGTGCAGCAAGAATCACGTTTAGGTTTACTTGTTCCACCTAAGATTACGCACTCGGAAAATGAAATATATTCATATACAAGTAAGTGTGAATACTAGCTTAGACATCGTGTGGCAGATCTATAAAATTGGGGAACAAAAATTCAGATTACAAATTGGTCACACCCAATAACACAGATAACTTAACCTTCATTAGGAGAATATTAAGCTCGTAGTTCAGTCAACTTCCCTATTTTATACATAAGGAACTCCTGGAACTGCCATGGCCTAATCAAGTTCAAACGTAAGAGAAATGGATCATATATATCAAGTTGTCTTTCTTGTAATTTTTCTAATTTTAGTTTGGCAAAGTCTTGGTGACGTTGTTTACATTTAAATTAGTTGACCCGATTCATCAAAATCGTGGGTGCATCCTGTACATAACATTTGATTACTCGAGCCGGCACTAATGTTTTGCACGAAATGAAGCGAAAATGAAGCTTAATACTAAACTTTACAACTTGCCCATTATTCATCTGTTCATAAATCAGAAGACCTTAACGAGGGTTTAATCAAATTTCTTGTCCTCTTATTTACGACTTATTCGGACAAGTGAACAATCACGTTTTTCATGAAAAAAAACAAAGAACAATCATTTTTTTTAATCATCTGTTAACCCCCAATATTTAGGAGTTCCCATTAGTCCGATGATGATATTAATCAGGAAAAAATATAAAAGCTGTTTAGAGCTCAAAGCAGTTTAAACCTCTAAATAACAATTATTTTCTCCTAAAGCATGCAGCGAAGATTTGGTTTATTGTGCCTTTAATGACCTAAAACTAAAGAATGGACAAATACTATACCTCTATAGCATAATTTACACTTCGAACCCCAAAGGGTTACTAAAAGAAATTCCAAGAAGACCGAATGAATGATCAGGGTTTGATCTAAACGAGGCAATCTCGTATTCCAATTGCATCTTCCATTAAAATTAATGTCGCATTTATCACGCCCACCATATTACTCATAGAGTTTTACTTGATGCACGTGGATGAAGGGTATGCGTATTTACATGGAATTAATAAAGTTAAGGATTCTATACGTTATTAACTTATTACTAGAAAAATTACGCACCATGCGCACCACATGCATCTAATATAGTTTTTATTTTTGCAATTAGTGCTAATTAATAGCAACCACCAATCGCAATCTCCAACCTTGAAGGCTTGGAAAGTGTTTCACCACTGAAAGGCTTCATCGTACTTAATTGATGTATCCTTCCTTTTCGATTGTAATCTAGAAAACTCTAAAACAAGGCGAAAGCAAAGATCATCTCTTGAAATAAAGTAAAAGGAAATTCTTGACCTATGCCATGGGCTCACCATCTATTCAAATGTTCCCTTTGTACTCTATCACGCGACCTTTCCTTGCTCCAAGGGGCTCATCTCAAGTCAAGCCAATTCTTGGACTTAGCTAGGGGTAATCGTCATGTTAAAAGTAAGGTCAATAAAAATCGAGGGACATTGCGAAAGTAACATCAGAAAAATGAGGGGTTAATGATGTCATTGAGGTTGAACTTTACAATGCTCTGTGATCATAAATCAAATTTAATTGCTGCAGGGACCCACATGGTCATCAGAGTCTCCGCTGCTGCTGATGAGCTGCTGAAGTTTGACTAAGATTCGGTGGTTGTGTGTGTATGGACGATGCGACGTCCAACATTTCAATGTTTTTTCCGAAAATTAAGGTTAGCTATTAGGATCGCAGGAGTTCCTTCCTGCAGCTTCTTGATAGTCTATGCGAGTGGTTGACATTTCTTAAAGAGTAACATGCTCAATGCAAAAGCAACTTGGACTTTGTACTTCCAATTGAAAAAGAAAAATTAGGGGGGGAAATAATATAGTAAACGAACCCATCAATCGATCTGGTTGGTTCTGCTGGTAGTATTTATATAGGAAGAAGCAACAGCTGTGCCATTTGTAAGCAGCTTATTCAAAACAAGTTCAGATGCTGAGACGGTGGTGAGAGCTTTTGAAATGTCTTCTCTTCGGAACACAACCGTGGAGGAAAAGAAAATGAAGCCCACTGGTGTCGAAGATGATGACGACGACGACGGCGAGAGTTTTTCCACAGGCACTAATGAGGTATTGATCTTCAAGATGTATCTGCAAAAATTCTTTCATGAGATCTTTTTAGATTAACTTCTCTGGACATCACGAGTTCATGTTGGAAAGGGTTTTCCATCGGGTTTCCATTCTGTTATGGAGAGGTTCCTGAATGACGAGATTTAATACATTTTCTTTGTAGTTTTGCCGCGAGATAAATCTCAAAGAAGTCTGCATATTGCTGCCTAGACTTTTCGACATTACGTAGATATACTCTATATTAATTTGTGAAAATTCATAACGTCAGGGAAATGTGGTGCCACACTAACTCTAGTTTTGAATGTATTCATAATGATTCGATCGTTCTGATATTCTTAGCGACATGTGATATATAATATAACAGGAAGAACATGGAGTCTGCGTCGAACCGGAGCAGATTAGTCTCAAGTCATTGATTTCTAGTGAGAAGTTACCAGCAATTATAATGGTAGAGAGCCTCAACCTGAAACTTCGTGAAGGAGATTATGGTTTTAAGGTGATCATTAAGTGTGTTTTTTATTCTGAAATGCTGCATTACTGGCCATTTTATTCCGGATCGTCTTAAATTTTCACGTTGTCAATGATGAACATCAATGTCTTTCTCTCATTTGATTTTTATCAATGAGGATCTATCGAAGTTTGTGATGATCTTCTTGAACAGTCCTTACCCAGAAGAATTAACGATTTTCCTAATTACCATGCATGGCACAGATCTGTCTTTTCCTTCCATATTGCGACTTTTCCACATGTTCAACCTGATTTTCCAGACAATTCGATTAAGTAGATTTGGATGTGTGCTTCATTCTTTGTGACGTAGCAAGCTAGTAAGTTTTGTATGCAATGTCTAGATTGAAAAGTATATTAACTTTGTCATGAAATTAGCCGGGAGATACTTACCTCACAATTAAGATCCTAGTCATATACTTTGCTTGTAAACTACTAAAACACTCTCTGACCAAAAAAAAAAAACTACTAAAACACTCCGGTTTTTGACAAGCAATGCATTGATCAGAAGCCCTTATTAACCCCGGAACACCGATCATCTCTGGAAAAGAGTTCAAAAACTTACCATTCATCCGACCACATGATCGAGGTTCGTCCTTCTAATTACTATATTTCATTTTTACGTTATCCTGTGACAAGTAAAATTTACAGTGAGAAAAGGATAGAGGCGTAAGGAGAGTGTTCTGTAAATGGCCTATAGTTCAATGGCGCCAGTCTTAATATCGAGAACTGTTATTTAATCATCGTCTTTTGGAAAAAAACATGATGTTTCTGTCCTTCTAGGACGATCGCCTTGAATCAGCTAGAGCTCAAATGGGTCGGGTCAGGGAAGAAAACCAAAGGTTAAAGTCCACGTTGTCCCAAATTGTGAAGGACTACCGATCTTTACAACACCAGTTCTTTGAGGTTGTCCAAGAAGAGAAGAAGATCGAGATGGAACCTTCACAGACCAAACTTTTGCTTCCTCACAACCAAGAAAACAATGAAGAAGCGGAGCTCTTGTCCCTCACCCTAGGACTGAGCTCGAGCCGACTGAAGACCGACGGAGAGAGGAGAAACATATCGACGATGCGGAGTGAAAGCGCAAAGAATGGAAATAGTGACTTGAAAGAAGAGTTGTCCCTTGACTTGTACAACGGAAAGATCATGAGTTGTGATCATGAGAGCTTGAAAGACACAAAGGAAGGTGAAATCTCGAAGATATGGCGACCAAGTAAAGTTCTCAAGACCGTGAGAAGTGATGATGAGCAGGTTTTGGAGGAAAATCATTTGAAGAAAGCTAGGGTTTGCGTCAGAGTTAGGTGTAATGCACCCACTGTAAGTATTTTTAGCTGTTACAACTATAATTTTGCTTGCAATTTCACCACTCATTTTCACAATAACCACAATGGACAAATGGGTTTCTCTATAATTCTGTTAGAGATGGGAAATAGCATGGTATGTCGGGAAACGGAGAAGGACCATTTGAGGAGAATATACCGACTCAATTTGTCATGACACATTGTGTATCACAAACACTTGAATATTTTTTCAATGTGAAGTGTTTTGATCTCAAGAATCTAAATTGAGTAAGTTATTTTAAGAAGATCCCAATTCGTATCCATTCATCAACAAATTTGTTTTTATGGTCACCTTGTTGGAAAAATAGTCTTCTACGTGTGTATTGGAAAGAATTCAGTTTAATATTAGGATAAGATTTTGTTGAAAAGGATGACATAAATGACGCATATTGTTCTTGTGGCACAGATGGAAGATGGATGCCAATGGAGGAAGTACGGACAGAAAATTGCAAAAGGAAATCCATGTCCTCGAGCGTACTACCGTTGCACTGTCTCGCCATCTTGTCCAGTCAGAAAGCAAGTAGGTTCCATTCATGCACACATTTTTTCCCATTTTTGCAATGCAGGCATTCTTAAATTTAAACTTTAGATTATGTCCATTTTAATTGGCAACATCACAGGTACAAAGATGCGTGGAGGATATGTCCGTCTTGATGACCACTTATGAAGGGAATCATAACCACCTTCTTCCTATCTCAGCCGTGGCTATGGCTTCCGCCACTTCCGCGGCCACTTCCATAATGCAATCTCGCTCATCGACCTCACAACAACACCACCCCCATGGCCTTCGATCTTCGGCGTCCTCGGGGCCTGCTTTCGCCGCGTCTTCTAGTGGCTTGTACGTATTCGATTTCATGGGCGATCGAAATCCAAAGCTCCCTCGACTTTATCTCTCCAACTCTTCTTCGATTTCAACTTGCAATTCTCACCCCACCATCACCCTTGATCTCACCTCGAGCCCCGACTTCTCCAATTGCGATAGATATCGATCCTCTTCACGCTTCCCGTCTCTACCGAAACACCCTTCAACATTTCTCAGCTTCTCCTCATCACCACCTTCATCATCATTGTCGTGCCACTTGGATACCACAGCCCATAAATCATCTTCGGGCATTGGTCCTAGGGTTTTAAATCATGGGACGCCACCACGACATCAATTTTACCAACGCCATTTGTGGCCAGTTACCAATAGCCAAGCTTCTCGTCCACAATCTTTACCCGACAGGTTAGCCACCGAGGCGACGAAAGCAATATCGCCGAATGCGTTTTTTCAATCCCCTTTAGCAGCCACGATGACCTCGGTCGTCGGCGACAGGGCAACTAGCTCTCTTGGTGATAAAGGAAAGGAAGGAGGTTCTGGGCTGAACTTGAAGCTTGGTGATGATCCAGCAACACCAATCAGATCACTCCAACTACATGGACAAGCCAATGGCTTTGAGCTCTCACCGGGGACCCAAGAGCTCAATTTGGTTTCCGCATTCATCAGAGGCATTATCCACATCTAAGAAGAGTGCTTGTGCTTCAATGTCTCCTGCTGAGACCAAGGATCACGTCATTAAGTTTCTTGCCAATTCTGAAATGTGACATCTGGAAGGAACGAGACTACTGTCATAGTACAGAATTTACCATATGTTAGAAACTTAGAACCATGAGGTTTCAGGAATCAAGACCCCAAATTAAACTTCCCATATAATTAAGGTTTTTCGGCTTGATCATTCTAATTTTTTTTTCGCATTAGATGGTTTAATCATGGATACAAGCTAGTTAGACAAACGTGTGAGAGTACTTGCATTGTCTTTTTAAGTATTCTGACGTAGAGTTAATAGATTCAAGTGGATAAAAGATGATCTTTGCAGGTTCTCCAAGTCACAAATGCAGATGAATCTCCCAAGAAGTGTGCAGGCATCATATCCTCAAATGGAATTCGTGGAGAGATATGAAACGTGCACTATTGTTTAATGCGTGGTTCCCTTTTGTTTAAACACCAACTAAAATGAGCACAGAATAATTAACTGCTTTTGCTGTCGAATATATTTGAATTCACAATTTTTTCCAAAAACAAAATGCGAATGCGGGACATATATGAAGTTATGAACCTTCATTGAGCTTAGTTTATACGTAATTTAGAGATGTAAAAAATAAGATTCAATAAACATTAATGCAAAAAATTATAGGAACATTGTCTTATGGTCATGTATTAAAAACGGGCCAACCTTTTTATATTCTCTTGTCTTATGGTCATGTATTACCAATAGATTAGCTTTCGTCAGATTCAGGGAAAAATTATCCAAAAAATCATAAATCTATTGTACTTTTGCCAATTCAGTCATAAATCTTTCAATTTTGCCAATTGAGTCCTAAACCTTTTCACTTTTTGCCAATTTAGTCATAAACCTTTTTATTTTTTGTCAATTGAGTCTATCTGACTAATTTTTGCTGAAAATCGCTAATGTGGATGTCGGCCGGCCTACGTGGTGTCGATGTGGACACCACGTAGGTCATTAACATTTTTGAAATTCTTTTTTTTATTCTCTATTCTTTTTCCTTTTTCTGTTTTTTTTCCTCCTCTTTTTCCTTCTCCAGCAGGTCATCAGGTCGGCGAAGTCGACCTTGCCAGCCTCAAGCAAGCCTTAGCCTCGCCAGCCACTGGGGAGGCCAGGCTTCGTCCTCGCTGGGCAAGGCTCGCCATCGCTGAGTTGGTGAGGTCGAGCCTTGCCGGATCTAGTGAGGCCGACCTCGCCTCTGTTCGATTACCGAGGCCCGGCGACCGGCTGAAGGAGGAAGAAGGGGAGGTAATTAACATTTTTGAAATTCTTTTTTTTTTATTCTCTATTCTTTTTCCTTTTTCTTTTTTTTTTCCTCTTCTTTTTCCTTCTCCAGCAGGTCATCAGGTTGGCGAAGTCGACCTTGCCAGCCTCAAGCAAACCTTAGCCTCGCCAGCCACTGGGGAGGCCAGGCTTCGTCCTCGCTGGGCAAGGCTCGCCATCGCTGAGTTGGTGAGGTCAAGCCTTGCCGGATCTAGTGAGGCCGACCTCGCCTCTGTCCAATTACCGAGGCCCGACGACCTGCTGAAGGAGGAAGAAGGGGAGGTAAAAAAAGAAAAATAAAAAATAAAAAAATTGAAAAATATTATTAAAAATTGTCCACGTTAGGGCCACGTAGACCGGCCAGCGTCCACGCCAGCAATTTCCCGTCAAAATTGGCCGGATGGATTCAATTTATAAGAAGTGAAAATGTTTATACCTCAATTAACAAAATTAAAATGTTTATAATCGAATTGATAAAAATGTAATAAGTTTAAAACTTTTGGGCTTCAGTCCGTTGAATCATTTCTGTCGAGACGATAAGGCGTGATTGGGCCGAGCGGAAATGGCAGCTCTTCCCCCATGCACGAAGCAGTACAGTCCGGCTCATCCGGACACCATTGACCCACTCTCACTCACTTCCCCATCCCACTCGCAACACGGCCATTTCTCTGAGACGGACACGTCTCGAGTGCGGACAGGTGGCGAAACCGGCTACATGCACGTCAGACAACCACCATAACTGACCCGGAAGCACGGTTCCTAGGGAAGACACCGAAACAGAGAGAAGAAACAGCGAAAACGAAGACAACCCCTGAAGAACATCCCTTAGGCATGTGAAGAGATCCGTTCTTTTTTCTTTTCTCCTTTCATTTTATGGGTGTTCTTCGTGAATTTGCTGAGCTTTTTGTATTGTCGACATGTACCGATGATCTTGTTAATCTCACTGGTGTTGAGCCATTTGTAGGAATGGCACAGCCGCAAGAGATGAAGGGAAGTGAGAAGCTGGCGAGCTGTGATGCATACTTTGAGACGATTCAGTCCAAGAAAAAATTGCCCCCCTCGGTGCAAGAAAGTCTGACCTCTGCATTTGCAAGCATCCCAGTTTCTTCATTCCCACAAGTTCCTGGAGGCAAAGGTAAGAACTTATAGCTGCACTTTCTCAATTACTAATCTCTCTTTTTTTTTTCCCCAATTATAAGGACAAAAAAATAAGGTTTAGTTTTTGAAGGTGAATGTGTTTTTCGTTTGGGAATTGTAAGTTGAATACAAGTTTTTGGATTTTTGGAATGTGAGAGTGTACTTGTTGTGATCAGATCAGGAGTAGTTTATATTTCGTGTTATCCCATTTTGAGTGACATGGATTGCAAACCTATTGATGTTGTAGTGATCGAAATCGAAGGAGACGCCTCGGTGGCTGACGCGGTTAAGGTTCTGTCTGAGCACAACATAATGTCAGCTCCGGTGAGGAACCCGGATGCGAAAACGAGTACAAATTGGAGAGACAGGTACTTGGGAATTGTGGACTACTCGGCCGTAATCTTGTGGGTGTTGGAGAGCGCAGAGCTCGCAGCGGTTGCTCTGTTGGCGGGTTCGGCGAGTGCAGCTGGTGTGGGAGCCGGAGCAGTCGGCGCTCTTGGGGCATTGGTGCTGGGCGTGACTGGTCCTGCTGCGGTTGCCGGGCTCACAATTGCAGCGGTTGGTGCTGCCGTGGCCGGGGGTGTGGCGGCCGAGAAAGGTGCAGGTAGAGACTCTTCCACTGCCGCGGACAATTTGGGGCAGGATTTTTACAGGGTTATTCTCCAAGAGGAGCCCTTCAAGTCTACCTCAGTAAGGGTGATTTTAATTCTAAGCCTTAATTAATGTAAGAATATTTTTGCGGTATCGTCATGAGATAGCAAATGAGTTGTGGTTAAGTTAAATGCAAATCACAGTTGAATTGCTTGTCAATTGCAACCCTGGATCAAAGTTTTATATTACCGGTTGAAGATTATTACAAGAAGCTAATCTATGAAGCGTTACCAATACCCTGGGTATGAGTATGTTATTTTGTTGAGTGAACTTGGTCTTTGATAGTTGAGATGAAAATGTGTTCTTTTATGTGTTTCAGGTGAAGTCCATAATCAAATCGTATCGCTGGGCTCCATTCATACCAGTAGCAGAAGACAGTTCGATGTTGAGCGTGTTGTTGCTACTTTCGAAATACAGGCTAAGGAGTGTTCCCATCATTGAATCGGGAAAGCCCAACATAAAGAACTTCATCACTCAATTTGCGGTTATTCAAGGCCTCGAGAGTTGCAGAGGAAGAGATTGGTTCGACTGCATTTCTGAAATCGCTATCGGTGAATTAGGACTTCCTTTCATGTCACCTGATGAGGTATCCTATACATATGATCTCAATCTGTAAATAGAAGATTTATAGGTGATCTCAAGCTTGAGGAGCACTTGTCGGCTTGTACAGGTCGTTAGCGTCCGAAGCGACGAACTGATTCTGGGGGCTTTTAAGCGGATGAGAGATAATCAGATCGGTGGTGTCCCGGTCGTGGCAGGGTCAAAGAAGAAGATTGTGGGAAACATAAGCATTAAAGACATTAGTCACTTGCTGCTGAAGCCCCAGCTTTTCACCAATTTCAGGTATTCTAAGACACCAAGTGCCTCTAGTCTATCAGTTTGGTCGAGCTTTCCGATTCTTAAATGGATTTGTTAAGATGGCAAGTGTTGAACACCAATTAAGCCAAATTTCTTATTTCCAATGCGCTGTTTCTCTCGTAATATGAATAACCGGTGCATGGGAAATCATAATATTTCATGGTTATAGAGTGTCCCGCGGGCACTCATTAAGTAAAGCCTCCTTAAAAAGCGTTCTCCAGTAAATGCTGAGATGTCACATAACTTTTGCATCAACCGAGTCTATCTCAGTATCAGTTTCCACAAATATTCATGAAGTTTCTAGTTTGTTGGTAGGACAAATTAGTATTAATGTTGTGCAAACAAGAATACGACACTTCGTAAGCTCTATCTGCGTAAACTGATATATCTGGTCCATTACTTCTTACTTTTTCTTGCCTTTTGTCTAGTTGGTGGTAACCGGAGTCGTTATTAGCTTTCTTTGCGAAATTTTGCCGCAGGCACCTAACAGTGATGGATTTCATGAGCACCATCATCTCGACAACTCAAGAACCCGGCAAAGTCATACCGCCGATCACGTGCAAGCCCGATTCAACACTCGGCAGCGTGATCCGCAGCCTCGCATCGAAGACGGTACATAGGATATACGTGGTGTCTGATGAGGAGGAAGTCGTGGGGGTGATCACGCTTCGAGATGTTATTTCTTGCTTCATCCACGAGCCTCCTAATTATTTCGACGATTACCTTGGGTTCTCGGTCAAGGAGATGCTTGGTCAATGAGGCTCTTGTTACTGGTGTCCCTAATGTGCTTTAAGTACTATGAGACAAGCAGAGATTGCTATGGAGGATTTTCTAGGTCCTTATAAATCTTGCTCTTGTGATTCACTAGTAATTGTCAAATTTCTTCCCTTGGACTATGTTCTCACCTCACAGCTTGGAAATGTAAGGTCTGATTTTGTTATAACCTAGAGATTTAGCCTAGCACGACAAATCCACGTGCATAGAAGCAACACTAGTTCTTCATCCTCACGACGAAGCCCGTGTTGCACGGTGTGTATGTGCGCGTGCGCCTGAGTGAATGAGCACGAACCGAGACTACTAGATTATATCAGCAGTGTTTTTTGCACACTAAGCTTTATTTCTTTCTGGCAAACTTAGTAATTACAGGAAAACACTTCAAAAGTATATAGTGCAAGAAGAGAAGCTTTATGTCCTTGTACTGAGGTTCTCACTGCTGGTCCAGCCTTCTTGAACCTGGATTGAGTACTGCAGATTCCAGAGAACATCTTCTATCGAAGGCCGCTTGCTCGGCTCTTCCGTGAGGCAATTCACGGTGACTTCGACCGCGGTCTTGAGCGATTGGTATGCGAAGGAGCCACGAATGGATGGATCAGTCACGCTGCGTAGCTGTGAGGGGTGTTCCGTTAGGCTCTTCTCTAGCTGCAATTCCAATTAGCGGGAGAAATCAGTTACATGGGAAACATTCGGCTTTTGCAATGCTAGACGTGAATGAGAATGGGCGACTGTTCTAGGAAGTGAAGTACCAGTTGTTTCATGTCATCCAATTCACCGGTGGACTTGACCAGCTTCCCGGTGATGACTTGCAGGAGAATCTTCCCAAGCTGATACATATCTTCTCTTTCTGCATCTTTTGGACTGACAAAAAGAAATAACTTCCATTTGAGAATTCCTTCATCTGTGCAATACAATAGCTGGAAAATGAAATTGAAAAGAAAGAAGAGGCTGCATGCTCATGAGCAGCACACGCGTGCAAGTTGATAGAGATCGGACAATGTAATACCTGCTATCGCTTGACGCCATTTCGGAACCCGTCTGGAAAAATCGAGAGGGTAACCAACATCAGCTAAAGGATGCAAGAGAGATTTTGGAGTATGATGGAGCTTATTATTCAAATCTCACCTTGAACGGCAGTGGAATGTTGTAATTGCTGATTTTCGCGGTGAGACTCTCATCAAGCAGAACATTGTCAATCTTCAGGTCATTCCCAAATATTCCGGGAGCCATCCCAGTGTGCAAGAACTGGACTCCCCTCGCCACGCCTATGGAGATCGTCATTCTCTGTGGCCATTTCAGCATCTCTTTCCTCCTCCAATCTGCACATACATGAGCAAACATAAAACTGATAGGCGGATGACACACAGGCATTTGCCAAAAGAACAGATCCTTTCTTTTCCGAAATCTTACCTGTGATAAGATTTGCCAGCGTTCCATTCGATATGTGTTCGAGTACGATAAACACTGTGCTGGCCACATTGGGGTGGTCCTGATAAGTGACGATGCAGTGTCCAAGAAGACTGACCAAATGGCGATACCTTAGCTTAGATAGATTGTCCAGTTGCTGCACTATATTTTGAGGCAAACTTCTCTGCTTCAGTTTCAGACACTTCACTAGGACTACCGTACCATCTCTGAGCCAACCCTTGTATATCTGCAGAACAAATCAAGGTATCACTCTTTAGCTGTTCGATGGTTACACTGTTGAGTTCCGTCGCGATCCAACTTAACATTTGAATTGTGAAAGAAAATGTCTTACCTGTCCTTGATTTGCCTCTTCCATCAAATTGCATGGATCAAAATTGTTTGTTGCGTCTTCAATTTCCTCCAGAGTGAAAACATGATAAGGTGGGAGGCCCAGTGTCGCCAGCCTCATCGTTTGAGGCATTCGCCCTGCCAAAGAGTTCAGCATTTTTGGATGTTATATCCAGTTCAATTGAATAAGACTAAGATTGTCTACCACGTCAATGTTAGGAGGAGGGATATTCGTCTGTCATTCCCAATAATCTGAGCAATAATAGTAAAGTACAGATGAGAGATCTTACTAGAATCAATGCTCGACTTTGGCGAGCCGCGAAACGACAGTTCGTCAGCATAAGACTTGGCGGGCTTGCTTTCAAATGATCTTCGTGCTTCTGCTCTCCTGATCAGCACTATGATCAGTAGTCCGAATGCCCCTGCAACTCCAATGGTGCCTCCAATTATTCCAAAAACGAGACTCAGTTTGATGCTCGACCCTTGTTTCTCAGCTTCAGCCGGAGGCTTAACTGCCAAAGCTTCTTTCTGGCAATAAGAGTAGGAGTGCTGGTAATTTGAGTTCCCGCCGGACAAGCAATTCCACAAGCTGATCACTGTCCGGTTCGCCGAACTTGACCCGATGCATGACAGCATGTTCCCAACCAAAAGATTGTGCGAAATGTCCACATAAGTGAGATTACCATTGCATGAAAGATTCGTTGGAAGTGCTCCACTGAATTGATTTTCCTCTAAACTGAGGTAACGAATCGAAGGCAGACTGAAAATGAAAGACGGGACGTGCCCAGAAAGCTCGTTGGCCGAGACATCCAATCGCTGAAGCTGACTCAAGCCATTCAACTCACTAGGAATTTCAGATCTGAATGAGTTGTTCCTCAACAGAACACTTACAAGGGTATCTCCGAGCAATGGGAACTCTGGTCCGAGAAAGTTGTCACTCAAATTCAGCTCTTCAAGAACGGGTAGGCCCTTAAGATCTGGGACACTCCCATTGAGCAAATTATCAGACAGAACAAGACTCCTGAGGCTCTTGAACGAAGTGATGGACTGAGGAATCTCCCCGTAGATGGAGTTCGAGCTGAGGTTGAGCACCACAAGTGAGTGAAACCGGCTGACCTTGGCGGGAAGCGGTCCCCACAGGCCCAGGGACACAAGTGAGAGCACCGTCAGGTTGGAGAGCTTGGTGAGCACAGTGAAGAAGGAGTCCATGGAGAAACTTGCAGAGAGAGTCTGCTGAGAAACGGCAAATCGGGAGGGATCGGGATTCGGGCCGTCGCGATAGGATGAGTTCTTGGTCCCAAAAATGGTCAGCTCTGTTATGTGATTGTCGGAGCAGGCAATGGTGAGAGAAGGTGATGGTGGGAGGTAACAGAAGCTGGTCCAGTTCGTCCATCCCTGGAGGGCTTCCGGGTACTCCAACTGCTTCTGGATTTGGAAGAGGACCCTGGTTTCACTTGGACTGAGTTGAGCCATTGCAAGTGGAACTACACTCATCATCAACACGATCACAGAGAACAAGATACAGAGCAAAACAGGGGAATTGGCCATTTCCCAAGCAAAAAATGAGGTTCCAAAGTGGGTGCTTTCTGGTGTCTCTCTTGAATCTGAGCGGAATCAAATCATGCAGCACTCATGGGAAACCATACTGAAGACTCTCTGGCATTAAATGCCATACCTGCAGCACCGGCAACTTCATCCATACATGGCAACTTCAGGATGTGGAGCTCTGAGACTGAATGTGGGAAAGAAGTTGGGAGGGAGACACCTTCGTGGGGTCCCAGAGAGTTATGAGGAGAGTGCTGTAATGAAGTTAACATGCACCAAGGAATTTCGAGAAATGATTAAAATATGAAGTCAGGAGTGAATCATTCAGTGCCTAAAAGCTGGAATCTTTATGCTAGGGAAAAGAAAATAATTTTTTTTTTTTGCATTTGGTGAAAAGGTGTTTGTGTATGTAATTCTGTGTGAGAGAATAATGGATCTGGAAAGCGTCAGCTGAGACAAGAGGAAAAGTGGCAAACCATGAAAATTACATGAATCACAACACTGGCGACAACTATCTTTTGGATCGATTTTCAACAGGCCAAGATCGATATACAAAACTAGAGGTGGGCATTTTTAGGGTGGGTAGACTTCGGATTTAGGGCCTGAAACCTATCATGTCGGGACTGATTCCCGGTTTTTGGAATCCGGTACCTATTCTGTAGACCTCGACTCTGTCGGTGTCGTCCGATTCCAGGGTCTATTTGGGAACCGGCCAATTCCCTTTTTTGTTGTTTCATCTTTTTTATTACTTAAAAGGACAAATTTTAATGAAACATCCCTTCATTTACACAAGGCAAAAACGACAATAACAAGAATACAAGATGCGAGGTAAAATTAAAAGGAGAGGATTAGGGTGTCTCAATTTGGTTCTTCGATCTGGTCCAATCCCCCGGTTCGGTCCGGCTTCGCACCCAAAATCGAAAATTGAACCGATAGTAGCCAATCCCAATTTTTTGGAATCGGGAGTCGGACTAAAACCAACTGGGTGGGGTCAGTTCGATCCAATTCTAGGATCTAATCTGGACCAGTACTCAGCCCTATAAAATCAATAACTTCGATGATGTGTTGATTTTTATTGATCCCCTCGAACGTAATTCCACCAGTTTTTGTGCACACGCGCAACCCATCACATCGCCCGAATTATCAATTTTTTGTAAATTGATGCTAATGCCCCATGAAATTATTATTATTATTATTTTCCTTTTTACATTTATTCATTTATTTTTGGCTTGTGGTCTTGTTAATTTTGGATCCAGAGCTGGGGAAAGGCCAAGGCACAAGGAGACAAAAACCGTGGGGTGGGGGGGAGCCTCGATCACACGCTACGCGGGGGCGGGCTATCATCGGGTTCCTCCCTCAAATCGCGCGATCGTGGACCGTCGATTCGACGGCGACTCGTTGGTCAACGCTAGCCGCGGATTCAAAAAACAGGTGGTGCGAGGATCTCGGTGTCACGTGCCGAGCGCACGTGATCTCCGCCCTCGGGAAAAAAAAGCTGGCGCAATCTCGAGCTCGTACCTACGTTGAAAAAGTTCCGAATATCCCTTAAAATTAGGTTGTCGGCGGAAGGCAAAGGCCGATGCTCATGAATCAATGATGAGCAAGTGCCCTTCTTGAGATTGATTAGACTAGAACGATCCCCACTAATTTCCCCAAATCCTATTGCTTTCGATAATCAAAAGTTTAATGATATCGCACCAGCGAGTCCCCCAAGCTTTTGAAATGCATCGAGCGAGAATTGGCATCGAAGGAAGTGCGGCTTCCAGCCTTCCTAGCGGGATTAGCTCTACCTAATCCCGTATTTCCCGAGAACGATTAAATTTATCGCGGATGATTCGTGCTTTTCCGGTCAATTTAGGGTATGATTAATTCGCGTGATTTGGCAGCTAGCTCTTGTAGAACTAGACAACGCACAATGTCGCTTGGGGAAGGAAACAAAAACTAGGGTTTGTTTAAGTTTAGGAAGAAAGGAGTACGCGAGAAAAAGATAAATTTTGCGATTAACATGATATTATTACATGTTCGTGGTAACATGTTGGAGATATATATGTTTGTGGCAGAGGTTGCACGTGATGTGTCTCGGAAGCAATGCCTCGAGCTATTAAAATAAAAAATAAAAAAAACATAGAGAAAAGGTACATTTAATTATTTGCTTTTTTTGGTTTATAAAAAAATTAATTGCTGAAGCCCTAAGCAATCGACCTCAATATGCGGCGATCGTGTTCTGCTTCTTTCAACGCAATTGCCCGTTCTTGAATTTTTTTGTTTTATATTTTTAACCCCTCTTTTCAATGCGATAGGGATTACCGCCGAAGCTGGAATTGAATTAAAATTTCCTAATTAGTATTTAAGAACTATATACATCGAAATATAAAAGCTAATTCCCTCGTGTTTTTTATACGCTACTTTCAGTCAAATACCACACCGACTATGAAACACACACTCTCTCTTATCAAGTCAAATGTATACATGCAATTTTCATTGCACCACACATCGTGTCGGCGATGCCGATATGCCATCACGCGAGTCCCACATGATCCAATGAATACCCGGGTTCAAGCAAGAACTTCCTAAATTTCAGCTGACCCAATGTCGAAAGGGGCTAATTTTGACAAAAAGCACCAATTTTATCTTGAGCGACAATTCTGGCACAAATTTTTTTTATTTGAATAAAAAGCACAAACTTTTACTCGAATCTCAGATTAGGCCTCTATGGTGCGAAATTTTCAAATTGTTCGTGTCAGATTTTGGATTTAAGTGAAAGTTGGTGATTTTTTACGAGACAAAAAAAAATACGTGCTAGAATTGTCACTCAAGATAAAGTTGGTGCATTTTTTGGGAATTGGGCCTTGCCGAAAAGACGGAGGAACCAAGGCCCACAGAAGTACCCATCTCTGAACATTCATGGGCCTCAATTTGGGAGGCCCAAAACGGGCCTCGAATGTTGCGTCCATTCGAAAAGCCCAAGCCCAGCGGACAATCGCAAAAATAAGGGGGGGGGGGTGGGGTCCAGCTGTTCCCTTCCCACCCATCCTCGTCTTGTCGTGGGTCTGGTCACGAGTCACCGCCTGCGTCCACGTGGACACCGCTCCGTACAGTTAATTAAGCAGTTAATTACTCCGAACGGGACAGCTAAGCGGATGATGATGGTGCTGAAACGGCGCCGTCGGGGCGATTAATGAGTTGACATTAATCTAATAAATAATGAGCTTCGTTTTTGTTATTAACTTATTATTCGAAGCTGCAGCGTCGCTTTCGTCTCCGCCAAAACTTGCCGTTGTAGTTGCTGCTGCTGCTCGTTCCGCTGCAGGAGTGACGACCGACGAGCGAGAGCACCGGCCGGCCGGCGGATCGTTCCGGCCGCGGAGAGCAGCGGCCGCCGACGTTCCTCGTCGTCTTGCTGAAGGTGCATTTGCGATTCCGGGGGGGCTCTCTTTACGGTGCGCTCGAACTCAACCCGTCGGTCTAACGTGCTTCTGTCGTTTTGAGTAGATCTCCCCTGTTTCGGCGGGTGGTTTTGCGACTCGTGAAGTCGATGGCGATGAAGATGTGATTGCGGTTTCATGGATGGAGTGGCTTTGGTTCTACAATGCGGTTGTAGTTTATGCTGTGCAGTGTTGATGTGTTGTTCGAGTCGGTGGAGAGAGCTCCTGAGCTAGGTCGGTAGTAGTACAATACCTGTAGAGAGAGAAATGTTGTGTGCTCAAGCGTGTGGGGTGATAAAAAAGAAGATAACTTTTGAGTTTATGTACGTGAATTTGATTGGATTTTGGGTCTTCTTACTGTTCACAAGTGTATTGTCTTTGGATTTAGGTTGAATGTCAACGAGTTGCTCATGTGTTTGAAATGGTTTGAATATGAGAGTTTTCGTCATGGATTTCGGTTCTGCCAATCGGGGAGCATTCTGGGTCTGTAATAGTGAAGTTTTATTACTTTTGTTCTTCTGCAGGTTGTTCTATATATATATCCGGGGGGCTTCGGTTCCTTTCTTTCCTAATTAAATGGGAAGAACACCAGGAAAATGGTTGAAGACCTTACTCCTTGGCAAGAAATCGTCAAAGTCTCATTTGCCAAAAGGAGGAGATGTTTCGGTATGATGTCTTTTAATAAACAAGCTCTCTTTTGTTATCTCGGTGATGTGAACGTGATGGATTGGAAGAGCCACACAGCTGCTCCTAGCTAAAGTATCTCATTTCTCGAATGAGTTCAATTGTAGAAGCTTCGGGGGGGCTTCCGATCCTGTATTGCTCCTTATAGTCATAGAATACCGTGTCCAACTGAGGTTTTTGATGGGGTCAGTGTAAAGATGGTTTTTCATCTAACTGTTAGGTTTCGGAGAACTCGTGTCTTTCTGTAATCAGCTACTGTACAGGTGCATAGGGGGAGATATCACGAACTGCTGACTGGGGCAGCCTATAGTATCGACAAACTTATCAACAAAGTAGATTCCGAGTGCAATATTTTCTCTCCTCAAGTGATTCTAGTTCTTGCCCTGGACATCTATTATTTGTATATGTCCAAATGGATGGATTGGCTCACTCAGTTTATACCTTCTAAGTTGCTTTGGGACTAGTGCCTCAAATTGTTAATAAAGTTGAAAAAATTTGTAATGGTAATAAAAAATTCTTGTCATGCTCTGCATCTTCCACTCTTTGTTTATTATCAGTATTGTGCTTCTTTGATCTGCTAATCTTTGCGACTCTGTCAACTCTGTTTGTTTGATGTTTGATATTCTTCGTTATCTAATGGCGTCTCTTCTTTTCTGTGGAAAGAAATCTGGACAAAAAGGAGAGGCCTTAATTCCGTCTAAGACACCCTCCACTGATATTATTGAGGAGCCTCCTTCAAATTCATTGCCAATTTCTGCTACAAATACTAGGAGTGCAGTGGACTTTGGAAAAGGGCCATATGCTATAGCACCTAATGATGCTAATATTATTTCATCCGGAAAAGATGGTAACGCACATACAAATGGTTTGGCCTTATCAGAAGATACTGAAAATGAGAGGCTTCAGCAAGCGGCTACTAAGGCACAGGCTGTGTTTAGAGGTTATCTGGTAATCTTCTGTAACTACTATGTCGGCTCCCCTTTACTGTGCAATTTATTTAGAGAATCTTCCTGTGCTATAAGTTTCCTCCTGGCAAGAATTTCCTCGGTGCTTCTGTCCTTGGGGTAATAATCCTTCTCAGTGCTTCATACATATTTTAAAGCTATCATTGTTTATGTCTAATTGCAGGAGTTGATTGGATAAGTTTGTAATAGGTGAAACTAATATTGTCTATGATCGAATTGTCCATTGGAAACATCGAAATGATAAACTTCTATGGAACTACTGATTTTTGTTTTAAGCTTGCTTTTAACTTTCCTACTTATGTAATCAGGCAACTTGATTTAAGAAATAAATCAGTAATATGGAGAGTTGTTCTTACCTTTGATCACAGCCTACTGTTGATATTTGCAATATGAGATGTTGTCATGAGTTGTTCCTTTGATATAGGAAGGCCCATGTCAAGTGCATGCCAGTTACACTCTGATGCCAGGAAAATTTAAGTGACGAGTCTTTCTAGAATCTTTGAATTCTTAGGTTTTTTGGTCCATTTGACTGACCCGTTTGTTATTACGGCCAGATGGAAGAGGGTATTCATGTCACGAGTTTTAAGTGATTTAATTAATTTATGAGAATTTGAATCACTACCCTTGTTTATCAATAAGTGATTTGATCGATTAATGAGCATTTAAATCACAAGCCATAATCATCAATAACTAAGTATACATTCATCCAAATATCACTGAATGAATTTCTGATGCATTACTGATATATGTGTCGTGTCATATAGTTCTGCTCCATTTCATGCTTTCTTGAATTTCATTCTTTTTCATTTGGATATACTGACCTTGTGTTCAAATGTGTACTATGCCCATGCCAGGCTCGTCGTTCATTTAGAACACTCAAAGGTATTGTCAGGATGCAAGCATTTATCCGTGGCCGCTTGGTCAGAAAACAAGCTATTGCCACATTTTGCTGTGTGCGAGGCATTGTAAAGATTCAGAAATTAGCTCGTGCTAAAAAGGTGAGAAAATTTTCTACTTTGTGGCCAAAATCCATACTCTTTCCTCATAACTTCTATAGTCAGTCTCTGTGTTCCTATACGGACCGGTGACACACTGGACTCCAAGTACTCATATCATCTTCGTTTTAACCGATTTCAGCATATGTTTCCCCTTTTCTGCACTTGTGCTTACTTTTTTAACTTCTTTTTTGTCTGTTAAATAGGGTTGGGAATTGCGCAATCCTTCAGCAACTGGCCAGGATAAGCTGCTTGTTGATGTGTTCATTCAGAAGGTGAGATCTGTATATGTATTCTATTTGTGTGTATTGGTACAAGTATGGGATACTTTTCATAATTTGGGTTAGAAGAGTTACCCCTTAAGATGAGCGATCGTCCTTTAAATTGCAAGTATTCGGATTTTATCTGAAAGATTGCATTGCTTCTGCATTCCTTCAAAAATCATGCACTGTTATAGAGGGTTCCTTTGCACCAGGAGATAGTGTAATTCCTTGGGGTTGACGTTTGTTTAATAAATTTGCTTAACAGATTTTGTGCACTGTATCTGGATTCAGTGTGATTTATGAACTTCCTGCTTCAATTGATGATGAATAACTTTACTAGTTACAGGGAGAATATATCTTCTTATAAGAAATTTTAAGCGAAGAAAGTTTATGACCTCCTTACAAAATAGAGAAGATGGTTCCAGTCATCAAATTCTTGGAATTTAGCCTATAAGTAGGTTTCTTTACATGATGCCTTGATGTGATGTGCGTGTCCATCTACCTAGTCAATGCACTAAAAAAATTTCCTTGTATAAGTGGTAATAAATATCCTATCATGAATGATACTTTAAGCTGGAATAGATACACGAAATACTCATTGCTTGGTAATCATTGTTTATACTCTCAGCTTATTGCTTCATCTCGCCTGGCAAATCCTCTTCATCTTCAATATGGCTGCAGAGATCCAAATTCTGCTTATATGTGGCTTGAACGCTGGACGAGGTCTCGTTTTTGGGAAGCCTCCTCACTACCAAAGGAAAATTCTCACTCATATCCGCAGTCAAAGCATCAAAATCTGGAAAACAAACAGTGTAGCCACAAGCAAAGTGTTCGCAGACTGCCTAGTACAAACGTCAAAACTGACTCCAATGGCATATCTTCGGAGTCTGATAAGCCCAAACGCTACCCAAGGAATTTTTCTGGTCACATTGTAGATTCAGTTCAATATAGATCAGAGAATGAGATTGAGAAAGTAAAACTCAATTTGAGAAGGACTAATGATCTTCCAAAAGAGGTTTCTGATGGGGTGAAGGCTGATAAGAAGAAACTGGACGACAGTCTTGGAAATGAACCAACTTCTGTAACCTCTCTGGTTCTGCAGCAAGATGTCAGTCATTCATCTGAGGTGGAGCAAGAGTCCGAAATTGAAGTACTGTCACAATTTGAACTGAAAGGAAATCTGAAATTAGCAGCCTCTGAAGAGCAAGTTGATGAATTACAAGAACATCTGGTTGTCGTTAATGCTCATCCCGCAGAAAGAGTTGGTCTAGTTGAACAGAAGTCGGACTTGAAGGATGCTAGCATGAATGGCAAGCATGAAAAAAGCACCCATAGAAGAGCTTCTTTACCTGCGAAGATTGACCAACAAGAGAATGGGAAGCATCCCAGCACAAGAGTGCCCAGCTATATGGCTTCGACTGAATCTGCGAAAGCCAAGCTGAGAGGACAAAGCTCCCCTAGGTTTGCCCAAGGTGGGATTGGTATGAATGGCACAAGACGGCATTCATTGCCATCGTCCACCAATGGGAAAGTAGATTCATTTTCACCAAGAGCTCTGAGACTTGTCGAAGCATCTGGCAAAGGAACAATTAGAAGTGATAAATCTCTTACATCTTCCAGAGATTTTGGTGGTAAGAACTTAAATTATGTAATTTTTGTATTACTGTAACGATAACAGGTGTGAACACGTGTTTTACATTGTAATGTTCTAGTTTTCTTTTCTTATGTTAAAGAAGACAAACCAGTCTTTAAAAACCAAAGGGTTTCCTGAGACAATCATCATCCTTGGACTAAATAACATGAAGCGTTTGTGTCAAACATCTTGTGGAACAAGACATCGGTGAAGAAGCGAAATTTTAGATCTACTGCCAGTTTCATGCAATGGGCCAATTTTTGACTAGTCTCTTGATTGAAGTTATAATACTCAGTCAAATTTATAGTAATATGGATATTATTAAACTTGGCATATTCTACTGAAGATATGGATGAAAAGAAAACAATTTTTCCGCAAGAATTACTTCAATATTTTTGTAGAGCATATGATCTCGCGAAAAGATAAAGGTCTCTTGGAAGAAGTTTAGGAAAGTTCCACTGAAAAGGGTTCATTTTGCTGGACTGTAATCATTAAATTCTTGAAACCTGGTAAAATATCTAATATATTCTGTTTGTGATGCCGAGTGTTCATATTAAAGAATGATGAAGTTGTAATATATCGAATGACCTTTCTTTTAATATTGCATTTTGCACCTAATGCTGAAATTTATGTTAGGCGTATATCTTTAAGCTTTATATCAATTGAATGTAGTTGTTATTTGACTCGTAAGCCATTGTAGTATATCTTTTGATAGATGACAATGAGATTACACTTCGAGAACCTACTGCCTTCCAGCTGGCCAATTTTCAGTCTTGCTTGGATTTGCATTGTTTTGCTCAGACAGATGTTATCTGACATCTATTTTCAAATTACTCTGGTGTTTAATATGCTTGATTGATCCTGAAGAGGAAAGATCCGTTGATCCATAAGTTTACTGCATGGTTTCATGCCTGCGACCTTTTTTCTTCTTTATGGTTAAAAGTACTAAGGATTTGTTTCGTGTCATTACTTTCGAGCTAGGATTTTGAATTGTCTTATATCCTGTGATTAACAATTTTTATGTTATATTATCCAGAGAAGTCGATTAAAGTAGAGTGGAGGAGGTGATCTTCTATGGCATGACGATCACTCTGGACTTTACATTGAGAAAGAAGTGAAATAACAGAAACTGCTCTTAGTTTTCTGTTCAGGGCCTTTTCCCACAGACGAGTTCTCAACTTTGGCAATGTCCACGCACCCAGTTAGTCATCATTCAAGATGCTAGAACATGTATGGGATATTATCATTTTCTGTATAGGGATGTTTTACTCTCTGACCAGTTGGGTGGTTAATGTGCTTAATTATCATATGGGCCTAAATATGTGCTGCTTTTTCTTAGGTAATTGTTCTGTCTATATTCCCTGTAAGCACTCTGATTTAATTTATGAACATTTTACAAGACATGATAAGATTTCAGTCTACAAGTATCAGTTGTAAATGGGGTCACTTTGCCTTCTCAATTTTCTCACGATGGAGTTGATACTTGATAGTATTGTGTTTCTCCCCCCTGAAATCTTACGATGGTCTTGCCTGTGTAATGAGGTGAAAATTGCGGTACATATTATGTTGTTTCTCTTTCTTATGTGCCCTAGGCCAGAGACATTAAGCTCGTGCTGTTTTTACAAGTTGGAGCTCTGGGGAGATCTGATACGATCTAGCATAGTTGGTATAGTAAGGTTCCATTTCTGCTGAATTGACAGGTCATAGTCACAGAAGTATCCTTTTTAGTGACCTAAGTCACGGCTACGGTGGATCAATTGAAACTTGAAAGCCACTATGCATTACTTTTATTTCTTTTAACTGATACATCCATGGACTTTTTGAGCACGGAGCAAGCCAGTCCTTGCCCAAAACTGGATGGGCATCTCATCCCAGACAGAATGCGAAGAGAGAAGTCCCTGGTGTCCAAGTTGGATGGAACACTGCCGTACTAACAGTATACCCGTTCCCCAGGTAGATGCACCCGTAACTTGCCGACACGCCCCCATAAATTGTTGCTCCCGTGTCGTTTGACCATAAGATCTTCCCGGTGATTGCCTCCATCGCGTATACGGGACCATTGGGAGCAGGTGACCCAGCAAAAACGAGACCATTGACTACTGAGACAGGCCCAGATGCGATCTCGTTGCTTGGGTTCGCTGTGGACCAGAGCATTGCGCCTGTGTTTGCGTCAAGCGCAACCCACGCGCCTGCCGTTGTAGTTTGGGTTGAAGGGGCGAGGGTGAATCTAGCTCGATTGCTGTTGGCGATGTTGGTGTAGATTCTTTGTCCGTCCGTAGCTGCACCCCATATGCCTCCTCCCTCTAGGCCGCCGGGCCCGGCCAACTGCACATTTTGAAAAACGATTTCATCATGTTAGGCGACTTCTTTGTTGAGCCAGTTGTATGTATCGTCTATCCATTCAACTCTAGTGTCTTCTCTGCTTAGGTTTATCATACTTCTTGTGTTATCGTCTACAGCTTCTTGATTATCCTCATTGAGGTGAATATGCTGGGGCTGAGCCCTATGGGATGTCAATAAGGTGCTGAAGTGCATCTTGCTGAGCAGATTGAAAATTAAGCATATTGGAGAGGTCCGGAGAGGTTAGAATTTTGAGGACTCTTTATCGCTATTTTCCAAGCTCGCATGGATTGCATTAGAGTGAGACTATAATAGTGAGCTGCCTCCAGGATTATACACGAGAACTAAGGTGGTGACTATTTATATGAGTGATAACGGAAAGAAGATCCATCACCTATGTCAGCAAAATAAGGAATGACAACGCGTACTTACTTTGAACCATACTATGGCCCCGGTGTCTCGGTCTAGAGCCCAAGCAAAGCCACTCTTTTGCACGGCAGCTACGATGTCTCGCCTGGTGCCGTTCGCTGATATACTGAGTAACATGGGAGCCTCGCCAAAGTCCGCATCCAAGTTCGGTCCAGGTGGACAGTCGGGATTATTTGGCACCAAGCAAGCAAAGTAAAACACGTCATATCCCCCGAGTTGTCGTGCCCATCTGATCTTCCCCGATTCGATGTCGAATGCGATGATGGAATCAAAGTTCACGTCCGGCCCTATGCACTGGTCGGGTTGACTTGGCTTTGTGGTTTGGTTGTTTTGCTTCTGTTGGCATTGTGCGACCTCTTGTGGAACTGTGTAGAGCTGCCCAGTGCCTACGTACACGAGCCTCCTTTGCAGATCCATCGCCGGACTGCTTCCCCATATGGCGGCTCCGGAGTAGCCGCCGCGTTTACCGCCGTTGTCCGGGATTGTGTAGGTCTGCCATATGATTGCTCCTGACGTAATACTGAGCTTCGCCAAGCTGCCTCGGAAAGTGCAACATTGCTCTGCGGGTAAGGTCACTTCGAGTGATGATACTCCGGCATAGAATGCGCTGTAAAAATAAAGAGAGATCATTATCATCCGGGTCATAATGAGAGTCACCTTTTCTTATATTGTGGAGATCCTTTGTAATTTTTCTTGGTACAGGTTACAATTTTTTCTTTAGTGTTTGCATCCACCTCATATAAACCGTTCCGGACATTGTTACCACCGCTAGAGGTCGTGGATCAAGCTGAGTCGACCAAATTAGGCTCCCGTTCGATCGGCTCACAGCGATAACAACTGCAGGTCCATAAATTGAGACGATCAGGAGGCTCCCGGCTATTGTTGGGGTTGACCTAGAGACCGTTACGTTCACTATTGTGCCCGTGCCCCTAAGCCCCGTTAACTCGCTTAGGTTTTGCTGCCATATCAAACCGCCGGTGAACGCGTTCACGGCGTACAAGTAGCCGTTCCACGAGGGAAAATACACGACGCCGTTGGCTATTGCTGGGGTGGCGGAAATATCCTTTCCGGCGAAGAACTTCCATCTCAACCGTAAATTCCGGATGGTCGACGGGCCGATCAACTTCTCTTCTCGAGCATTTCTCGTGTTGCTCAAATCGCCTCCATGATTTAGCCACTACATCAAATACTTAAACTCATAAACAGAAGCAGTGAAAAAAAGCACACGCACACAGATACACGATGATGGATTGGAGCTTAACTACCAAGGCGACGGCACTGTCTACTATACAAACGGTGGCGATCGCAAAGATGCAGAAGATACAGCAAGTTTTCTGAATATATAGGTGAGCCATCGAGATTGTAAAACCTAATTTCCTTTTCCTTTGGGTGGATTCGACAAATCCCACATATGATTATATAGACAAGTAATTGTGTGTTCCTCGGTCTCACTCTCTCACATGTAAAGAGCTCTCTGTCTCGTTAAGTTTGAATCATTTCTTTGTCGACATGCGTAGAGCATTTATGTATCTTCAACTTCAAAACTCAATCTTTCCTCAGCTAATAAACGTTTTCCTAGAGGAAATGTGGTCAGGAAAACCCTAACCATGCAAAGCTCGCTTGTACATACAGGACGTAGACGTCACACCTGGCTCTTGTTGTCACATTATTCGACGTGTACCTCTCTATTTATCTCCATGAAAGTAAGGCATGAATGAGGCAGCTTATTCAATATCTAAAACTGCTCAAGTGGGGGGCATCTTGCCATTCGTAACGGTTTGACTGAAAACTGGCGCAATTTGGAAAACAAACAAAGATATTTTATTGTATATCCACCGTCCTAAGAAAATTGGTCTCACGAAGTACTTTGTACGTGAAAAAGTCCGAGTTAACAGTTGAAACAAGTCGAAAGAAAATTGTAAAAGTAGCTCTAAACAGACCCCTCCCACTTTTAAGTATGTGCTTCACAGATTCATGCATTTATTTTGGCTAACACAAGTTCGTTTGCTTTTCACAAAGTGAGGGATCTTGAGCATGAACCAACTCGTGTGTCTGATGACAAATGAAAAGAGTATGAATAAAGTCATGTTCACTTACTGCAATTCTTATCTCTGGCTACTGGAGAGGTTATGTGCTCTATATATATGAACTATGAAGAATCATGTGTTGGAGCTATGGCTTACCTCCGCAGCAGCAATGTTTAGCAAACAGACAGTGGCGACGGCGAAGATGCCGAGACTAATTCTCTGGATATGGTGGCGATGAGCCATGCTTATATGCGAAGATAGAAGCTCGCCTCTCTCTTTCTTTATGTTGGGTATGTTATGAGTAAATCCTAGAACAGATTGTGCTATATATATATGCACGCTAATGCCCTCTTGGTTTGCCGCATAGATGGAAAAACAATCTCTTGGTTTGACTTTGGAGTTGGGATAATTAATTCATTTTCGGTCAACAAATACGGTGAGAAGCTAAGTTGCACATTGATTGGTGGCGTGACCACGTACAAGTGACACCCAACGCCTAATGAATTGAAATAATAATTTCAGCTAGATCAATTTATTGGGATCATTAGGGGTGTCAAAAGAACCGGCTGAAACATGACCCGACCCGACCCGACCCAAACATGAAATTTTTGTATTGGATCATATTGGACCTTAACTTGTTTGGGTAACAAAAGAAACAAGGCTTCAGCTTGTTTTGGATCTACCCGAGCCTGCCCGAAACAAGCCCACCATAAACAAACAAGAACCATTTGATCTTCTTGCTCCCAAGCCCACCCGAAACCTATCATCTTCTTCCAGAGCTCCGCTTTCTCTCTCTAGCGGATCCCGTCTCCTCCCCAGTTTGACTTGCGCCACCTCCCTCAATCCACCGTCATCGTCATCCCCTCCCAGGCATCGAGCTCGAACCAGGTCATTCCCCTCAAACCCTAACTCCCTCCCGATTTCGTGAATGAAAGCGGGTCCATCATGCGTCGCCAACCGCTACGTCAGGTAGCGGATTCTAAATTGTGGGTCTTTCGAACCATTTTATTGCGGGTCCATCGTTCTTGTTGTGTTTCGGAGATTTCTTGTATGGTTTTTTTGTTTTTTCCTTGCGCGGTCGTGGATCGCGTTAACCCACTTGAATCTTTTTGAGTTTGATCGTGGATAGGCTTCGAAATCTCTACTGGGTAGATGCGCTTGATTTGATTTCGGCTCTTTCTCTGTTCTTGTTTCTGTCTGCTTGTTTCTGTGGCGATGACTCTGCTGAAAGAATTCACCCACGATGCTTTCGGCAAATCCGATCCGACTGTTACCTCGTTGAAAAATGGGAACTTGGGCTGGAATTCCGAATTGATTTGGTTAAATTTCATTCGAGCAAATTGCATCGCCACCCATGGTGAAAATTAGATTTTTTTTATTTTTATTTTTTACTTCCCCGGTGGTTCTCCGGATGATTTCGTAGTAAAAGACATGTTTATCTTGGTATGAAGTATTGAAGTGTCATTTTCAGTTCGAATTTGCTATTGTTGGGTAATTTGAGTGAAATACTTTCTGCTTAGTGTCCGATTCCCGTCGATTTGCTTGGATCACAGCGAAAGAACACAATTGTTGACTTTCCCTCCGCTTCCTTAGGCCGCGAAGGCGAGATGGCCCGGGATCTTCGACGG